GGCTGGGCATGGTGGCTCACGCCTGTAATCCTAGCACTTTGGGAGGCAGAGGTGGGTGGATCACCTAAGGTCAGGAGTTCGAAACCACCCTGACCAAGGAGGTGAAACCCTGTCTCTATTTAAAAAAAAAAAAAAAAAAAAAAAAAATTTACTTATTTTTTGTTTTTACATCTTGAGCTTGTAAGATCCTCCCACCTCAGCCTCCTGAGTAGCTGGGACCACAGGTGTAAGCCACCACGCCCCGTTTTTATTTTTTGTAGTGATGACGTCTTCCTATGTTGCCCAGGCTGGTCTCGAACTCCTGGTCTCAAGCAATCCATCCACCTTGGCCTCCCACAGTGTTGGAACTATAGGCATGAGCCACCATTTCCAGCCCTAATTTTCAGTTTTCTTTCTGCCATTATTCTTGTTTTTAGACCAGGAGCTGGCAAGCCTTTTACATAAAGGGTTGGAACACAAATATTAATACTTCAGGCTTTGTAGGCCATATAGGCTCTGTAACTATGCAACGGTACTGTCGTAGCTCTAACGCTGCCAGAGACAATACATAAGAGAATGGGCATGGCTGTGTTCCAATAAAACTTTATTTATGGACACTAAAATTTGAATTTCACATACTTGTCACATGTTAAAAAATATTCTTTTTATTTTTTCCAACCACTTAAAAATGTTCTCAAAACCTTTCTCAGCTTGCAAAGCCAATGAAAAGCAGGTGGTGGCTGGACGTAACCCACGGGCCATAGTTTGCCAATCCCTGTTTTAGTCCACACAAGTTTCTTTTTTTTTTTTTTTTGAGACAGAGTTTTGCTCTTGTTACCCAGGCTGGAGTGCAATGGTGCGATCTCGGCTCACCACAACCTCCGCCTCCTGGGTTCAGGCAATTCTCCTGCCTCAGCCTCCTGAGTAGCTGAGATTACAGGTGCCCGCCACCACACCTGGCTAATTTTTGTAGTTTTAGTAGAGACGGGGTTTCAGCTTGTTGGCCAGGCTGGTCACGAACTCCTGATCTCAGGTGATCCGCCTGCCTCAGCCTCCCAAAGTTTTGGGATTACAGGTGTGGGCCACCACGCCCGGCCACAAGTTTGTTTCTTAAGCCTGTTTCCCTATAGGCAGGAGGGAAAATAGGACATTTGAGGACATAATAAACCTATCTTCATATCAATACCACCAAATAAGACATACACACAAAAAGTAAAAACTGTGGGAAAAGAAAGCTAAACCGAAATCCAGCATCAATGCAGGAATTGAGAGCTTTGCATAATTTACCTGTATCTAGGAATGGCGACGGAAGAGACTGCAGCGACCTCTTGTTCCTAAGACCAGCGACCTCTTGTTCCTAAGACAGAACACCTGACTTCCAGCTTCCTGCTGTTGCGTTTCCTACAATTACATGGTTGTGGTTTCTCCAGTCATTAAAGGCTTGCACATCAATCTTTGTGAAAACTGATCTTACCCATAACCAAAGGTGAGCAATATAAGTTCAAGCATTTTTTGTGACTCTTAAGAATTTACATTGGCTGGGTGCAGTAGCTCACACCTGTAATCCCAACACTTTGGGAGGCTGAGGCCAGAGGTTCGCTTGAGCCCAAGAGTTCGAGACCAGCCTGGGCAACACAGCAAGACCCCATCCTAGAAATCTTTTAATACAAAAACATTAGCCAGGCCATGGGGGTGCGCACCTGTAGTCCCAACTACTCGGGAGGCTGAGGCAGGAGGATCTCTTAGGGCCAGGAGGTCAAGGTTGCAGTAAGCCATGATTGTGCCACCGTACTCCGGCCTGGGCAACAGAGACCCTGTTGCAAAAAAAAGAAAAAAAAAATTGCTCTCTAAAGTTTCCCAAGAAGGGACACTGAAGAAATGGAGGAACATTGCTTGGAAAGGGGCCAGGGGCACGGTGGCAGGAGCAGAAAGACAATTTTCACTGCGTATTCTCACCTGCCTGTTGTCTTCTGTCATGTGCTGGTAGGTACCGGAAATGGTCAATCAAAAAAGTCACATAACCTGGGTGTGGTGCTCACACCTGTAATCCCAGTTCTTTGGGAGGCTGAGGCAGATGGGATCGCCTGAGGTCAGGAGTTCAAAGCCAGCCTGACCAATATGGTGAAACCCCATTTCTGCTAAAAATACAAACATTAGCTGGGCATGGGGGCAGGCACCTGTAGTCTCAGCTACTCAGGAGGCTGAGGCAGGAGAATCCCTTGAACCTGGGAGGCAGAGGTTGCAGTGAGCTGAGATCGCACCACTGCATTCCAGCCTGAATGACAAGAGTGAAACTCTGTCTCAGAAAAAAAAAAAAAAAAAAAAAAAAAAAAGATGATGATGATTTGGACCCAATAATGTGGCACTTGCCTCTCTTAACCCAGTAAGGTACTTACCACCCAGAGTGGGCAGCTTTAGAGGATGAAGCCAACTTGCTGAAAATTGGACTCTAAAAATAAGCATTCTGCACATTTCTTTTAGCCTCTTCTCTCTCATAAAGGCCTCCACAGATGGCTTCTTTACATCATGCTCCCAAATGACTAGCTGATAAATATTCATCCTTATGGAAATTATATTGTACATACTCCAAACCCCCAGCCAGTTAACATTTGTATTTTCTGTATCTCGGGGGTGGTGCCCTTTGTTCATGAGGCTTGTTCTATGTAAAAACCACACACACACACACACACACACACACAACCACACACGCACGTGTACACACACACACCAGCTTTCTCCCCTATGACTACTTTGCCTAGAGAGAATCAGGGTTGATTTTGCCCCTAAGGGATATTTGCCAATGTCCAGAGACATTTTGGGTTGTTACAAATGTGAGGATGATGTGTGCGCCTGTCATCTGCGGGTGGAAGCCAGGGGTGCTGCTCGACACCCCACAGTGCCCAGGGGACCCCCACAGGAAAGAATGACCCGGCCCAAATGTCAACAGGGCGCAGGCCCAGGCCAACCCAAGGTGAAGCAGAAACTGAGACCACAGAACAAAACCCTGAGGGAAGATCAAAGCAGCTTGGAATTCTAACAGCAAAACACAAGGGGGCCAATCCAGTTTGCTCTTTCATCTCTTCCTCCCCTAAGACAGGTCTGTCTTTGTCACTCAGGCTGGAGTGCAGCGGCACAAAAATGAGTCACTGCAGCCTCCACCTTCCCAGCTCAGGCAATCTTCCTGCCCCTCAGCCTCCCAAGTAGCTGGGACCACAAGCACATGGCACCATGCCCGACTATTTTTTTTTCTGTTTTCTGTAGAAGCAGGGTTTCACCATGTTGGCCAGGCTGGTATCAAACTCCTGGCCTCAAGTGATCCACCCCCTTGGCCTCCCAAAGTGCTGGGATTACAGGTGTGAGCCACTGCATCTGGCTTTGAGATGGAGTCTCACTGCCGCCAGGCTGGAGTGCAGTGCCGTGATCTTGACTCACTGCAACCTCTGCCTCCGGGTTCAAGCAATTCTCCTGCCTCAGCCTCCCGAGTAGGTGGGATTACAGGCATGTGCCACCATACCCAGCTAAATTTTTATATTTTTAGTAGAGGTTTCATTATATTGGCCAGGCTGGTCTTGGACTCCTGACCTCGTGATCCGCCCACCTTGTTCTCCCAAAGTGTTGGGATTACAGGCGTGAGCCACCTGGACTGGCCATTATTTCTTATTCAAATTAATACCCAGCACGGTGCAGTGATTTAAGTCTGTAATCCCAGCACTCTGGGAGGCCAAGGTGGGCGAATAACCTGAGGTCAGGAGTTCAAGACTTGCCTAGCCAACATGGTGAAACCCGTTTCTACTAAAAATACAGAGTTAGTGGGAGAGGTGGCGGGCGCCTGTAATCCCAGCTACTTGGGAAGGTGAGGCAGGAGAATCACTTGAACCCGGGACGCAAAGGTGGCAGTGAGCTGAGATCACACCACTGCACTCTAGCCTGGACAATAGAGTGACCCTGTTCAAAAAAACAAAACAAAAACAAGTTAGTACCCAATTAATTATTTATCTGCCTCAGCCTCCTGAGTAGCTAGGATCACAGGCATCTGCCATCTCTGCCAGCTAACTTTCTTGTATTTTTAGTAGATACGGGGTTTCATCATGTTGGCCAGGCTGGTCCCAAACTCCTGACCTCAGGTGATCTGCCTGCCTGGGCCTCCCAAAGTGCTGGGATTACAGGAGTGAGCCACTGCGCCTGGCCAATACCCAATTTATTAAGGTTATAAATTTAAAAACCTGTTTCAGTTTTCAAGCTCAACACAGAAATATTTAGTCAAATTGTAGTTAAAACACTTACTTTTCACTTGGTCCTCAATCATTTATTTGGGAGGTTAAATCCCCCCTAAACGTTAATTAACACTATTTTCAAATTTGCTTGAATACCCTTACGTACATTAGGCTGCAAACTGAATATGCTTCTCCCTAGTATTTCTTTTAGTCTTTTTCTGAGATGGAGTCTTGCTCTAGAACACAGGCTAGAGTGCAATGTAGCAATCTCAGCTCACTGCAACCTCCACTTCCCGGGTTCAAGTGATTCTCCTGCCTCTCAGCCTTCCTGGGTAGCTGTGATTACAGGCGTGTGCCACCACGCCCGGCTAACTTTTGTGTTTTTAGAAAAGACGGGGTTTCACCATCTTGGCCAGGCTGGTCTTTGAACTCCTGACCTCTTGATCCATCTGCCTCAGCCTCCCAAAGTGCTGGGATTACAGGAGTGAGTCACAGGGCCTAGCCTCTCCAAAGTATTTCCAACATCACAGAGAAACTCCCAGACAAGCCATGCAGTAAATGCTGCTCACATACCCACTTGCATCCCACCCCTTTCTCCCTTCCACCGCCTTCCACGGCAGTCTGAGACAGCAGCCCACTCCGGGCCCACACGCCGCACCTGGCCTGGGTACCACCCCACCCTGGCTGGCTCCCTCAGTGTCTGTGCCACCTGCAAAGGCACGGTGATAGCACTTAACACTTTTATAAAGACACTACGAAGATGTCCATGAGATCTGCAAAGACAGCATCCAAAGAAAGCACAACCAGTGACTCTTATTTAATTTATTTAAGAATCTTACAAAAACAAAAACAAAACAAAAACCACAACAACAAAAAAAACTAAATACAGAATTTGTTACGCTTCACGGTTGATCATTTTCACTTGTAAGAGTAAACCTTGCTAAAATGCAGCCAGTACATTTTTATTGCATGAGACCAAATTTTTTTAAGTTACATATCAAAAATGTTTGGGATAATCAATTCCAGATGCTTCGTACTGTGTTCCCACGAAAAGCTGGATGCAGCAGTGCAGTATCACTGGAACAGGGTGTACCCTTCACACGCTGACAGATACTCCACAACAGGAGCGAGAGCGAAAGGGAGATTTTGAAAAAAGAGAACGAAATGAAAACAAACCAAGAGCTGACATCCACCTTTGTTTCAAGTTGTCTTTGGATTCCATCGGATGCTGTCTCCAGGTGCACCATGTCAGATCAGGAGAGGAGAACAATGTACGCCTACATAGAAAAGTATCCTTTGCTCAGAGGAGGTAGAACCTGGTCAAAGTTTTATTGCAGAGATACAGCGTACCTCTTCCCACCTCTCATGGATGATGGAAGATACAAGTGGTTATTGAAAAATCCTATCAGTAGTTTGCAAGTATCAGTATATAAACCATGAACAGGATATTTTTCTGAGAGCGGTAAGACTGCAATGTGTTATGTAGAAAAAAAGCTCTCTGTCCCATAAAGCGGGAGTCAGAAAGAGGGCTCAAGCTTCTTTATCTTCTTCAGTGCCATAAATACTATCATAGCTAAAAGGCCTTCAGTGTCTACTGGCCAGAAACATCTGCCCAGGCACAAATGGGCCAAAAGGGCAGGGTACTGGTTAGGGGCCTGCAACGGAAAAGCCAGGCAGGCTCTCACCAGGGGCCTGCGGAGTAGCCTTCACTCTGGAGAATGCCTAAATTTTAAGTATGAAAAAGAACCAAATTTTCCTGCCTCTTCCCTTGCTCAACCCTGCACTGAGGGGCAGTCTTGGTGGACTGTGCCCTGCCACATTGCTGCAGCCCAGATGGCCCCACTGCCAACCACAGCACAGCTTCCCCATGGGCTGCGGAGGGAGGCTGAGCAAAGAGGGTCTGAGTGGGGGATTCACACTGGAGGCAATCTGTGACAGGCCCAAATTCACAACAAATTTAGTTCCCAAGACTGATCCAAATGCAGAATGCTTTTACATTTTCACCAAGTCTACCAAGTTGAATAGTAATGAATGAAACTTGTACATGAATGAAAGGCCCCAGAGAGGCTCATAGCAATCCTCCCCAAAAGTTACAGAGGAGTATTTTCTTGCAGGGTGCAAAACTGTGAACAACTATCCAATGTCTGCCTCCCAGGTGCTGAACAACACCATTTTCATAAGCCATCCGGGTCTTCCCAACTCAAATGATTAAAAATGCCTCCATCTAGCTCCGCTTCTAGGCTTCTGACTGATGTAGTCAAGATCCACTCACCAATACAAGAGTGGAGAGCACAGCTGCTCAGGGACCCCATGGGCCAGCACGGCAGTGGGCACACACCTGTCTAACCCTCCAACAGAGTCAGTCTAGGAGGCTCCGCAGCAGTTGCCTGGTTCTCTTTTGGAGGACAACTGTTCCTTAATGTACATTCTCTAAAGTCACCTGCCAATAACGCACTAGGCCTGCCTCCTGCCTGCTATAAATATCCTCAACAGGTTGTAACAGCAGCAGACTACCTGTGTTCATTTCAAAGTAAATTACTCATTATTTATAGGTTAAAAGTATAGGTCCAACTTCTTAAATAAACATAGGGAATTTGCAGCAGCAACAGCAGGCCAGAAACCACTGTTTCAAATCTGCAAGATTTTCCTATCAGGTGGGAAGCCAAAGATAAGAAATATGGTACAGGCCAGAAAAATTGCAAAAGTAGAAGCAAGTCAGGCTTGCCGATCTAAGAGCTAAGTTTGATCCCAAATGCACTGAAGAAGTTAGAGGAGCTTACTCAGGAAGCATTTTTCAAAATGTGAAAACATCAGGCTCACTACAGCTTCCAAAGAACAACGTAAATGAGCAAGACTAGTCATACAATGACAGTATCAGAAACAGCACTCAAGTGCACACCCCCATTACGATGCATTGCACACAATAAAAATAGTAATCAAAATGTAAAACACAATCAGACATATTAAAAAACATGAACACGAAACAGACAGGAATTCTACAGCAAAGATGCAAAACTGAATTCTAAAATACAGAAGCAAATACTTTTCTAAATGAAAAGTTTCCCATACTTTTCTAAATGAAAAAAAGTCCTAAGATGCCCCATATGGGAAAGTCAAGAAAAGAATAAATAGAGCTGAAGGAAAGAGGGAAAAGGGAGAAACAGGTAGGCGGAGTCCCAATTTACAAGAATTATTTACATTCAGAATTCAGAAGAACTTGACATTTCTATATATATACATTTATGTACATATATATAATTACATCATAAAATTAGAGGGTGGGTTTTGGATTCTGTCTCAAGTACTCACAAAAAAAAAAAAAAAAGAAAAGAAAAAAAAAAGAAAAAAAAAGCCAGAGAGCTTGAGTTGCAGGTATTTAGGTGTGTTTCTGTCACTTAAAAGACATTGCATTTGTATCAGACAATTGGCATCCAATGAGACCTTTATTTGCACAGTTTTTACTCTCAGCTGTAGCCCTGACATGGAAGCCTTGCTACATTTCTGCAGCAAAGTGGGCTGAGCGCAGTAAGCCTGGGGGTGGTGATAGCCAGGGCCACCGAAGTCACAAAGAAGGGGAGTCAGTACATGTCCATCACCACGGTGTCTGCCTTTGCCACTGGGAGGCCTGAACTAACCAAACGTTCATTAACAGGATCCCGGCCAAACAGCAACACTTATGTAGCACCAATCTTAGAAACTACCAAATACCACGCAGGTACGTGTGTATGAGGACCTTCCTCTTGACTGCTTGTCAAGGAAAGGATCCAGAAGGAACTTCTGCCCCTACTTTCATGAATTGAGATGCAACAATCATTTCGAATCTATTGTTTTTTTTTCTTTCTTTCATGCTAAAATGAAAGTGGAGGGGAGAAGGAAGAAAGCTCCCATTCTACAACTGTGAACGCTGTCCTGGTACCCTTTCTTCTCTTGCCTGCAAAGAGTTGTTCTAATAGCATCCCATGCAGGCCAGCAAAGGAATGCCCCAGGGGTTACAGCCAGAAAATTGTGCCTCTAAAATACTATATTCCTGTGGAGCTTGGTAATATAGAACTTTTACCTCTATAGATGAAGCAAACTAAAAGATTTATTGTTGTAACTCAAAAAGGCTTCTGAAGTGCTGAGTTAGAATAAATATACATAGATACACACACACTACTACATTGCTTTGGATGCAGGTTCCTGCTAATTTATATACACATGTAAAGAGAAGATACTGAAGTGTCTAACTGCAATTTAGCAGAATAAGAAAACTGCTTAACAGATCTGCTTCTTAATCAAGTTGTGTTTAAAGAAATGCGTAATACCTCTATGGATTTGTATCATTGATAGTATATCTGGATAATCTCAGTAACTACAGAGAGACACCTTGAGGTGCAGAGGCTGCTAAATTAGGGGAACACTAATTCCCCCAAAAATAACATCTGAGCTGCTTTAGACTCTGGAAGTGGTTTTCAGCACAACTGACACTGTAAACTCTGAAAACACCAACACAATTTCCAATCCAATCTTTGTGCTCAGAGCCATATTGCTAAAAAGAAGAAAAAGGCATTGCAGAGGCAAAATGGACATGAGGGTAAACAAGGCCTCTGGATTCAGGTGTGGCATTTAGAGCCTGGAATAAATGGACGTATTTTACAGAAGTCAGTGGCTAATTTTTTTGGTAGAAATGGGGTCTCACCATGTTGGCCAGGCTGGTCTCGAACTCCTGGCCTCAAGTGATCTGCCTGTCTCAGCCTCCCAAAGTGCTAGGACTACAAGTGTGAGCCACCACACCCAGCCAAGAGTTGGGTTTTAATAGAAGAGGACCTTGAATACTGAAGCTTCATAGGGTGGTGGACCCGAACTCGCTGACTTTTGTAAGAGCACAGTGTAAAGGTTGGATGTCCACCTGAAGGGGCGGGTGCAACTCTGGGAAGGGCACACACCATGATCAGCCTGGGCATGCAGCACCCCGGCTCCCATCCATTCACATGGGTTGCCTTTTTGAGGTCTGCTTTGAGAGGGCTTTCACAGGCCTTTCTGTTTTAATTTGGGCGGGGCGGGGGGGGGAGTAAGCTGTTCTACAAGAACATTAAGATACCTATGCTCCTGTGTATAAAGATGGCTAGTCCAGAGCAAACGTTATTACATTATGAGCCATGGCGGGTGTCAATTAGCTGCATGCTAAGGAATCCGCATATGTTGCTTTGAAAACACCATAAAAAATTAAGATGCCCTCGTAACACAGAAAGAAGAGTTGGGCCAACAGCCTGCAAGAGAAGATCCTTCCCAATCCTGTCACTGTGTCTCACTGGAGGAGGATCTGTACTTCTTCCCTTCCTCAGGTCCAGTGACTGTACCTCCACTGGAGTGGGGACACTTGCATTGCTGATGGAAGCTGACTACTGCTTTAAAAACACACATGAGCTGAGAAGTTCTGCTGAAGGTGGGGACAGTGCTGCTCTTGGCTGCCTGCCAGGTCTAGTGGTCCTAACAAGAGACAGAAAATGGATCACTGCCTGAGATATATGAACTGGACTGAGGAGAGAAGTTGCATCCACTGGGCAAAATGTGCCGAAGAACAGAAAGTACTTTCAACTTACTCTTTTAGGCACCAAGAATAAATAAATCCTAAGAAAACTTAGGGTAAGCTTGACATAACCAAACTCAGGCTAGAGACACAGAGGATGAACATCCTAAGCTTTCTGCCAGGTTTCTGTCAGCTAACACACGTCTCACCCAATTCTGCAAGAAGTTTAAAAAGTTAACAAAGCGAACAATTCAACTTGAAAAACATTCGGAAGTACTATCATTTTACCCCTTCCCTCAATGCCATCTCAAATTTTAGCAATAGGTTTTAAGCCAAACTCTAAGGCTAACTGGAATGCTGAGGCAACACACAAGTTCTGCAGAGTCCCCGTCACAGACTACTTTTGAAGGTCACCAGTGAGGGCCTAAACAAGAGTCCACTTCTTGTTAGTATAATAACTTTTTATTTGACATCTACAAGATTTTGGCATCTTGCAGCTTTTTTACCAGGTTTATACAATCTCGATTTTTCAATAGTGCAACCTGTGCAAGCAAAAGAAAGAAGGAAAAGGAAATAAAAAGACCAACTGTCCCCTCACTTGTTTTTATAAACATCTATTATAGGCGAAACAAAACTTACCCATATTATATAGATAAGTGTCTATTCACATTTGTACATTACCATTTTTAACAGCTTGAGATAAACTCTACAATGTCTTACAACACATTAAACAATATTCAAGTTACTGAGTAACAACAATAACAACAGTAACAAAAAACATACAGCAGAAGCCTCAAATGTTTCCTCATTGTCTACAGCTCAAGTACTGTTTCCTTTATAGAGTGACAAAGCAAATTAAGATAATGAAGTAAAAAACAATTGTTTGCAGGATGAAAGCCAATTTGTACTTCCTTCTAAAACTACCTTTAAGTTGAAAATGTAAATTTAAGAGGCTTATAGCTATTTCTGCAGCACACATTAGGAATACTATTAATACATTAAAATTAAATTTTAAGAGTTTTATCACAGAAAAATGTATGTACTCATTACCTTGACCAGAAACACAGGGCAGGGAGGAAAAGGGGCAGGAGGGGTCTGCAGGGTTAGAAGCAATACCCAGGTATAAACACTATAAAAATGCAATAACCAATGCTGTACATCTAACAAATGTTTCTCTCTGTTACTCGACTTCTGTGTTAATCTTGTTTACGCATGCTTTCAAAGACATGCACTGTCAGAAAAAAAATTAGAAAATAACCTGAATGCATGGTATGTAACTTTTCGTCTCATGCTTTAATAAACCTATTAAGTTGGAAAAAGAAACCAATATATATTTTCTATATTTATAGACTCAAAACACATGCATCCGGGGATACCTCCCACAGCAATGGCATGGATGTACTGCATTAACCCTGAGCACTGTATAAACATAAAAGTAAAGCCAGTTTGGGAAGTTCCAAGCATTTTAAACCAACTGTGGTCTGTAGCCTTTAACACACTCACAAACAGACTGACACACACGCACGCACACATCCCCCTCTGCTTACCCAAAGTAAAAGCAGATGGGAAGTACCAGGGGAGAAGCAAAAGGAAAGACATATGTACCACCATCAGCACTGCTGATTTTCAGTTTTGCTATCTATTCCAGGTTTGTCCTTACTCCCAAAAAAACTAACTAGAGAGAGCACAACTGAAAAAAATATATAATTCTTTGGAAACTGTCCCTGATTTTTATGCAAATGATATGCTTCAACAGCATTTCAGATACATCCATGTTGAAACCTGTCTGTTCTTTACGCGTTGCTCAAGTTGGTGATGCTCTGAGGGTGATGCTGTTGCCATAGCTGCTTCTGTTGGACCGCAAGCTGTTGAGACTGGTCAGAAGTTGACAGGAGATTTACAAGAGGAGACACACAATTTGCCGGAATGATCAAACCTGTAATTAGTATAAGCATTTATAAAGTTATGTCCAGAAGAAACCACACTGTACAGCTTCACAGCAGATTCCAAATGAGGCATAATATTAAGTTCAATAAAACAAGAACTTCACACAAAAATTAAATGACTACGTAATAAATGAAATGGCCCATCGAGATGTAGTTTGATTCTTCAACAGCATTTCCTACAAATACCCAAGCGTATGCACGTGTTTATTGCAAAGCCATCTTGCCGAAGAAACAGGAGGTCAAAAATAGTATTTTTCTATTACCTTTTTAAGCTCCACAAACATGCAAATATCACCTCTGCAGGTACTAATGCACAATAAAGACCACAGAACAAAGGTTGCAAATTCAAATGCTAACTAGCAAATCTGAAGAGTAGATACTAGCAAACTAGAAAGGATACTCTCTGGGTGCTGGTTAAGGGAACTTTAACTCCTGCCATGTGGGATTGAAGGTTCAATGTTCCAGATAAACTGCTTTTTTTTTTTTTTTTTTTAAATAGAGACAAGGTGTTGCTGTGTTGCCTAGGCTGGTCTCAAACTCCTGGGCTCCAGCACTTCTCCTGCCTGAGCTTCCTGAAGTGCTGGAATGATAGGCGCGAACCACCACCCCCAGCTGATGGGGTGCTTTTTATGGTTGTTTAAAGAAACGGGAATCCAGACTTTTTTTTTTTTTTTTGAGATGGAGTTTCACTCTTGTTACCCAGGCTGGAGTGCAATGGCGTGATCTCGGCTCACTGCAACCTCCGCCTTCTGGGTTCAAGCAATTCTCCTGCCTGAGCTTCCCAAGTACCTGGGACTACAGGTGTGCGCCACCATGTTCAGCTAATTTTTACTTATTTATTTATTTATTTAATTTAATTAACTTATTTATTTATTTTTTCTTGAGACGAAGTTTCGCTCTTGTTACCCAGGCTGGAGTGCAATGGCGCGATCTCGGCTCACCGCAACCTCCGCCTCCTGGGTTCAGGCAATTCTCCTGCCTCAGCCTCCTGAGTAGCTGGGATTACAGGCACGTGCCACCATGCCCAGCTAATTTTTTTTTTGTATTTTTAATAGAGACGGGGTTTCACCATGTTGACCAGGATGGTCTCGATCTCTTGACCTCGTGATCCACCCGCCTTGGCCTCCCAAAGCGCTGGGATTACAGGCTTGAGCCACCGCGCCCGGCCAATTTTTATATTTTCAGTAGAGACAGGGTTTCACCATGTTTACCAGGATGGTCTTGATCTCTTGACCTTGTGATCCACCCGCCTTAGCCTCCCAAAGTGCTGGGATTATAGGCGTAAGCCACCGTGCCTGGGCAAAATCCAGACTTTTATATGAAGCCTCTTGATTTTTAAATGTTGGCAATTAATCATTATTATTTTTTAAAGACAGGGTTTCACCATGTTGGCCGGGCTGGTCTTGAACTCCTAACCTCAGGTATTCCACCTGCCTCAGCCTCCTAAAGTGTTGAGATTACAGGCGTGAGCCACCAAGCCTGGCCCTGTTGGCAATTATTTCAAATGAGGCCCAGGTGCAGTGACTCATACCTGTAATCCCAACACTATGGGAGGCTGAGGTGGGCAGATCACTTGAGGTCAGGATACCAGCCTGGCCAACATGGTGAAACCCCATCTCTCCTAAAAAAATACAAAAATCAGCCGGGCATGGTGGTGAATGCCTGTAATCCCAGCTACTTGGAAGGCTGAAGCACGCTAATTGCTTGATCTCAGGTGGAAGGGGTTGCAGCGAGACAGGAGCACACCACTGCACTCCAGCCTGGGCAAAGAGCAAGACTCAGTCTCAAAAAAAAAAAAAATCCAATATAGAGGATGGCTGCTATAAATGAAACCAAGATAAGCAAACAGAGTCCAATTGCTGGCAGGCTTCTTGGACACCTGTAGTTGAGCGCATAGTGGGAACAGCTGGCCTAATTTGCCCTTTTCTCCCTGCAGGACACCAAGCCACCCTCTGTGCACAGTGGCTTTGAGTTCCATAGTCTTAAGCCAGCTCAACAGAGAACTCCTGTGCAGGAAGCTAAGTTGTCTTCAAACCAGGTAGACTCTACGGACAGCAACAGTAGAGAAGGAGAGCAAGAGCAGCTGAGAACCCCATCAAAGAGATGACCATATCATAACTTCAACCGGAACCAACAATGTCTGTTTGAAGGCTTAACTTCTGTTCAACCTTGTAAGAAATATAAACAGGTCCCATACTCACTACCAGAAGAAATGTTAGATACATTTGGAATAGAGCTAAGACATTAGCAATAAGAAAAAAAGTAGGATCTGATTTTTTCCTGCAACTCAAACAAAACAAAAATTAGACTCACCTACTATCCGTTGCCCATCTTCCGTTCTTAGCCGGACGATCTGCATTTTCACGTTTGTGCCACTGACAGATGCTAGAACACCCTCAACTTTTGTCCAGACACTCAGCACTGAACCACATAATACATAATATGTACGGCAACGAAGACCTATTTCACAAACTAACCCCAAGCTTGCTTTTTTGCAATTGCCACGCCTAAGAAAAACGGGAAATATATATATATATGAGTGTTTGTCAATATATGTATACACACACACACACCCCCCCGACAAGGTTTACAAAGTCAAATCAAATTTTTTTCTTTTTTTGAGATGGAGTCTCCCTGTCACCAGGCTGGAGTGCAGTGGCGTGATCTCGGTTCACTGCAACCTCCAACTCCCTGGTTCAAACGATTTTCCTGCCTCAGCCTTCCAAGTAGCTGGGATTACAGGCATGCACCACCACGCCTGGCTAATTTTTGTATTTTAGTAGAGATGGGGTTTCCAACATGTTGGCCAGGATGGTCTTGATCTCTTGACCTCATGATCCACCCATCTCGACCTCCCAAGGTGCTGGGATTACAGGTGTGAGCCACCATGCGCAGCCACAAATTTCAAATAAACAATGTTTTGGAATTATTTGTCTTTATTATTTCTTAGATGATAATTCTGTTGGCCTATTGAATTATCCTTTCCAATTTAAGGTATTGGTTTCCAATTTAAGGTTTTTTTTTTTTTTTTGAGACGGAGTTTCGCTCTTGTTACCCAGGCTGGAGTGCAATGGCGCGATCTCGGCTCACCGCAACCTCCGCCTCCTGGGTTCAGGCAATTCTCCTGCCTCAGCCTCCGGAGTAGCTGGGATTACAGGCACGCGCCACCATGCCCAGCTAATTTTTTGCACCTTTAGTAGAGACGGGGTTTCACCAGGTTGACCAGGATGGTCTCGATCTCTTGACCTCGTGATCCACCCGCCTCGGCCTCCCAAAGTGCTGGGATTACAGGCTTGAGCCACCGCGCCCGGCCCAATTTAAGGTTTTGAAAAGACAGTTTTTTCAGGGGACTGCCTCCCTATAGGGTTGAATTAGCTGGGCACAATGGTTCAGGCTTGTAATCCCAGCACTTTGGGAAGCTGCTGCATGTGGATCATGAGGTCAGGAGATCGAGACCGTCCTGGCCATGGTGAAACCCCATCTCTACTAACATACAACATAAATAAATAAATGAACAAATAAACAAATAAATAAAAATTACCCAGGCATGGTAGCACACACCTGTAGTCCCAGCTACTCAGGAGGCTGAGGCAGGGGAATCACCTGAACCCGGGAGATGGAGGTTGCAGTGAGCCAAGACTGTGCCACTGTACTCTACCCTGGCGACAAAGCAAGACTCCATCTCAAAAAAAAAAAAAAAAAAAAGGTTGAATTTATCGTGTTTGCTAACTGAAGGATTTGTTATTTTAATATACATTATTTGTATTGCTAGTTTATAAAATTATCTTGTTAGCTGGGCATGGTGGCTCATGTATGTAATCACAGCACTTTGAGAGGCTAAGGTGGGACTATTGTTTGAGTCCAAGTTTGAGAACAGCCTGGGCAACATGGCCAGGCGCTGTCTCTACAAAACATTTAAAAGTAGGCTGGGTGCGGTGGCTCAAGCTTGTAATCCCAGCACTTTGGGAGGCCGAGGCGGGTGGATCACGAGGTCGAGAGATCGAGAACATCCTGGTCAACATGGTGAAACCCCGTCTCTACTAAAAATACAAAAAATTAGCTGGGCATGGTGGTGCGTGCCTGTAATCCCAGCTACTCAGGAGGCTGAGGCAGGAGAATTGCCTGAACCCAGGAGGCGGAGGTTGCGGTGAGCCGAGATCGCGCCATTGCACTCCAGCCTGGGCAACAAGAGTGAAATTCCGTCTCAAAAAAAAAAAAAAAAGTATTAGCCAAGAACGGGCATGGTGGCTCATGCCTGTAATCCCAGCACTTTGGGAGGCTAAGGAGCATGTGAATCGCCTGAGGCCAGGAGTTCAAGACTAGCCTGGCCAACAGGGAGAAACCCAATTTTTACTGAAATAAGAAAATCAGCTGGGTATGGTGGCTCATGCCTGTAATCCCAGCTACTCAGGTGGTTGAGGCAGGAGAATCGCTTGAACCGGGGAAAAGGAAGTTGCAGTGAGCCAAGATGGTGCCACTGCACTCGAGCCCTCAGTTTCAAAAAAGAAAAAAAAAAGATCCTGCCATGAAAAAAAAAAACAACAGCTGCATAAAAGAAAAGAAGGGGCCGGGCGCAGTGGCTCACGTCTGTAATCCTAGCACTTTGAGAGGCCAAGGCAGGTGGATCACGAGGTGAGGTGTTTAAGACCAGCCTGACCAACATGGTGAAACCCCAACTCTACTAAAAATACAAAATTAGCTGGGCATGATGGCACGCGCCTGTAAACCCAGCTACTTGGGAAGCTGAGGCAGAATTGTGTGAACCCAGGAGGTGGAAGTTGCAATGAGCTGACATTGCACCACTGCACTCCAGCCTGGGCGACAGAGTGAGACTCTGTCTCAAAAAAAAAAAAAAAAAAAAAAAAAAAAGAGAAGCGAAGCAAAGGGGAGGGGGCAAAGATTCTGCCAGTTATTTCTATATTATGAAATTAATAATATATTGTTCTAAAATCACATTAGTGGGAAGGACTCAGCAATCTAGAGAGGAGATGGAAAGGGGTGGGAAGGGAGGGAGAGACTACATTTAAATTTAAGAAAAAATAAGGCTGGGCATGGTGACTCACACCTGTAATCCCCAGCACTTTGGGAGGCCAAGGTGGGTGGATCCCGAGGTCAGGAGATGGAAACCATCCTAAACAACACGGTGAAACCCAGTTTCTACTAAAATCCAAAAACCTAACCGAGCGTGGTGGTGTGCGCCTATAGTCCCAGCTACTCAAGAGGCTGTCAGGGGAACTGCTTGAATCTGGGAGGCAGAAGTTGCAGTCATCCGAGACTATGCCACTGCATTGCACTCCTGCCTGGTGACAGAGCAAGACTCCCTTTCAAACAAACAAACAACAAAGAAGAAACGAGAAAAAGGGAAAAATGCCACCAATGTTTGTTTTATGGTTAAAATTATTTTCAGAATTCATCAATAAAGATGTCCTTCTGGTTAGCACTAATTCAAGATAAATATACAGTGTTAAATGTACACACATAAGACATCTTCTTGCTATAATTCAAAACAAATGTTTGTTTTTAATTTTTTGCAGAGATGAAGTCTTGCTGTGTTGAGGAGGCTGGTCTCAAAACTCCTGGCCTCAAACAATCCTCTTGATCTCCCAAAGTGCTAAAAGCCACAGCACTGTCCCCAGTGCAAATGTTTTAGAAAATGTTTGTACAAACTGGACATGGTGGCTTACCCCTGTAATGCCAGCACTTTCAAAGGCCCAGGCAGGTGGATCACAAAGGTCAGGAGACTAGCACGCCCAACATGGTGAAACCACATCTCTACTAAAAATACAAAAAGTAGCTGGGTGTAGTGGCAGGCACCTGTAATCCCAGCTACTTTGGAGGCTGAGGTAGGAGAATCGCTTGAACCCGGGAGGCAGAGGCTACAGTGAGCCAAGATTGTGCTGCTGCAATCCAACCGGAGCAACAGAGCATGATCCGTCTCAAAAAGGAAAAGAAAAGAAAATGTTTGTAGGTTAACTTTTGAAAGTGTTAAAACTTTTTTTTTTTTTTTTTTTAAGACAGAGTCTTGTTACCCAGGCAGGAGTGCAGTGGCATGATCTTGGTTCACTGCAACCTCCACCTCCCAGGTTCAAGCAATTCTACTGCCTCAGCCTCCTGAGTTGCTGGGATTACAGGCATGCAGCACCACACCCAGCTAATTTTGTATTTTTAGTAGAGATGGGGCTTCTCCATGTTGGTCAGGCTGGTCTCAAACAGCCAACCCTAGGTGGTCTGCCCACCTCGGCCTCCCAAAGTGCTGGCATTACAGTCATGAGCCACTGCACCTGGCTTTTTTTTTTTTTTTTTTTTGAGCCAGTTTCAGTCTTGTCTCCCAGGCTAGAGTGCGATGGCACGATTTTGGCTTACTGCAACACCTCTGCCTCCCGGGTTCAAATGATTCTCCTGCCTTAGTCTCCTGAGTAGCTGGATTACAGGCGCCTGCTACCACACCTGGTTAATTTCTGTATTTTTTTTTTTTTTTGAGACGGAGTTTCGCTCTTGTTACCCAGGCTGGAGTGCAATGGCGTGATCTCGGCTCACCGCAACCTCCGCCTCCTGGATTCAGGCAATTCTCCTGCCTCAGCCTACTGAGTAGCTGGGATTACAGGCATGCGTCACCATGCCCAGCTAATTTTTTGTATTTTTAGTAGAGACGGGGGGGTTTCACCATGTTGACCAGGATGGTCTCGATCTCTTGACCTCGTGATCCACCCGCCTTGGCCTCCCAAAGTGCTGGGATTACAGGCTTGAGCCACCGCGCCCAGCCAATTTCTGTATTTTTAGTAGAGATGGGGTTTCATCATGTTGGCCAGCCTGCTCTCGAACTCCTGACCTGAGATGACTGGGCTATCCAGGCCTCCCAAAATGTTGAGATTACAGGCGTGAGCCACCGCACTCAGCTGAAAAAGCAAGTTCTAATATAAAGGATGACTGTTAAGTTCATGCTGCCAGAAAACGGTTGGAAATAAAAAAGCATCAGTGAAGAGTAAGGAGGTACATAAACTTAACAGTTTCTGGTCCACAACTGTCCAGTAAATATTCCTGATGGAACACACCATGCCTGGCAATACTCATCTGTTCATTAATTCATGAGGACACACTGGTAAAGAGTGAAGGTACATTTAAATCGCGATTGAATTTTGGAAAACATGGTAGGAAACACAAAAATACTAACCAATAAGCATGAGTGCAAGTATCTGCAGATGAATTATACTGATCTAACCAGTGCATCAGGGCATCATCTGAGACAACCTGTAAAAATGAGAGAAATTTCACTGAAAATAGCATTGCTTTAAATAAACTGCTTACCTAATCTGGTAAGTCTAGAGGCAGCCAATTTAAAATAATCTCTACCCAAAAACTTAACCCTCGATATTAGCTGAATCTGAATGCCACTTGAAAAGTTTTGTCATGCTGGTTCCTCTTATGTAATAAAGTTCTCAAATAACTAAATTAACTATAATTGCTTTCAAATGAGAATGGCTAGGTATAGTAATATAAGCTAATATTAATAAAATAAAACGTAATAGTAAATGTTAGGAAAAACAGTCACTTACTGTTTTCTATAAATCACTGCAAAATATAAACACAGAGGCATCCTCACAATACAACTAAGAGGTAGTGAAAAGGACTTTTTTTTTTTTTTTTTTTTTTTTGAGACGGAGTTTAGCTCTTGTTACCCAGGCTGGAGTGCAATGGCGCGATCTTGGCTCACCGCAACCTCCGCCTCCTGAGTTCAAGCAATTCTCCTGCCTCAGCCTCCTGAGTAGCTGGGATTACAGGCATGCACCACCATGCCCAGCTAATTTTTTGTATTTTTAGTAGAGACAGGGTTTCACCACATTGACCAGGATGGTCTCGATCTCTCGACCTCGTGATCCACCTGCCTCGGCCTCCCAAAGTGCTGGGATTACAGGCTTGAGCCACCGCGCCTGGTTACCTTTTTTTTTTTTTTTTTTTGAGACAGAGTCTTGCTCTGTCGCCCAGGCTGGAGTGCAATGGAGGCTAAGGCATGAGAATCACTTAAACCCGGGAGGCGGTTACAGTGAGCCAAGATCAAGCTACTGCACTCCAGCCTGGGCAAGAGCAGGAGACATCTTAGAAGTTTAAGGATGATAACATTAAGACTGCGGTATTGGCCGGGCGCGGTGGCTCAAGCCTGTAATCCCAGCACTTTGGGAGGCCAAGGCGGGTGGATCACGAGGTCAAGAGATCGAGACCATCCTGGTCAACATGGTGAAACCCTGTCTCTACTAAAAATACAAAAAATTAGCTGGGCATGGTGGCGTGTGCCTGTAATCCCAGCTACTCAGGAGGCTGAGGCAGGAGAACTGCCTGAACCCAGGAGGCGGAGGTTGCGGTGAGCCAAGATCACGCCATTGCACTCCAGCCTGGGTAAAAAAGAGCGAAAACTCCGTCTCAAAAAAAAAAAAAAAAAAAAAAAAAGACTGCGGTATTAGTATAACTATAACAAAAGTTGGTATGTTCCTTAAACCAGGCTGGGTGTGGTGGCTGACACCTGTGATTCTGGCACTTTGAAATGCCGATGTGAAAGGATCGCCTGAGCCCAGGAATTCCAGACCAGCGCAGCCTTTGCAACATGGCGAGACCTCATTAAAAAAACAGTAACCAAGTAAGAAAAAAAGTAATTTCATACCCAGAGCAACTATCTTAAACAGTTTCAATATATTATTATAAATAAGTATTCTTTTCCTTTTTTTTTTTTTTGAGATGGCGTTTCACTCTGTTGCCGTAACTGGAGTGCAGTGGTGCAATCTTGGCTTACTGCAACCCAGCTTCCCAGGTTAAACTGATTCTCCTGCCTCAGCTTCCTAAGCAGCTGAGATTACCGGTGTGTACCACCACACTTGGCTATTTTTTGTATCTTTAGTAGAGGTTTCACCATTTTGGCCAGGCTAGTCTCAAAACTCCTGACCTCAGGTGATCCACCCGCCTTGGCTTCCCAAAGTGCTGGGATTATAGGCGTGAGCCACTGTGCCCAGCCAAAATAAGTATTCTTATATAACATAATGTACAAATTAGAAAATACCTTCTTGTATTTCTTTTTTAGATCAGCATAAATTTCTAATTTGAGCTGTTTCCCAGTATTTGGTCGATAAACTAAGAAAAGTTTCTTTTTAGGATTCACTTCTTTAACTAAGATGGCAGTTTTCTTGTTGTTTCTTATCTGTTTAAAAAAAAAAAGACAAAACAGAAACATTTTATAATACACCCTTTAAGACATGTTTTGGTGCCATCACATCAGCAAATATAATCATTTGAGACTGTAACACTAAGTAAGTACATGGATAGTTAACTTCAAGAAAGAATGGAAACCAGTTTCAAAGTCTTTAACACAGCCACATCCAAAGGACAGTTACTGGATCTTAATTCTGGCTAAAGATGAAGGTTAAAGACCAATGTTATCTTCAGATAATTATTTGGAATTAGATTCTTCTGTTTCCTGTACCTGGAATCCCAGTCAAGCAGCCTCAGAAAGAAAAGAAAAACCAAGCATACTAAAATGGTTAACAGTAGAATCCAGGTAGTAGGCATTACGGGTCTTCATAGAAAATTATTTCACCTCTGCTGTATGTTTTTAACATTTCTCAGTAAAATGAGAATGCGCTGGATGGCCCCAGTCCTCTGCACTGGTCTATTCCATCGGTACTGCCTTTCCCTACGTCACGGTGTTGAAGGGCAAAGTGAGAGATCACATAATAAAGTGGTCTGTAAATAGCAAAGCTATATATGACAGCAAAAAGCGAAAATGTTGAACAAATCATCCACACACACGGAGGTAAAAATGGAAGAAAGGGAAGCATTAGACAAATGCTGGATTCAGGTATATATTTTTAACTATTTAAAGTTGGATTTATAAGAGAAACTTTAAGAGGAAGGAGTTACTCTTAGAACTCCATTTAACACAAGGAAAAACAACTGGAAAATTCATTTCTTCTTTAATGAAGACTGATCAGTTTCTAAACAATCATTTCTGAAGTTAAACTGAAGGAAAAAAAGTTTCAAAGTAAAAGGAGTTCCCTGCCCTCTACACAATAAATCACTGTTTGCAGGACTATTAACTTTTTATATTAATTCTCATAATAAAAAACACATTATTTTACTTGCCGCTGCGTGGATATTAAAGACCCTTGGTCTTTTACTTGTTCTAACGATTTGAAACTTTATATATAGAGAGAGACACGGGGTCACCCAGGCTGGTGGAGAGCAGTGGCGCAATCTCGGCTCACTGTACCTCCCCCTCCCGGGTTCAAGTGAATCTCCTGTCTCAGCTTTCCAAGTAGCTGGAACTATAGGCTCATACCACCACGCCCAGCTAATTTTTTGTATTTTTAGTAGAAATGGGGTTTCACCGTGTTAGCCAGGATGGTCTCCATCTCCTGACCCACCTCGGCCTCCCAAAGTGCTGGGATTACAGGCGTGAGCCACTGCACTCAAGAAACATTATGTAATTACTGTAAAGTCATAAAACAATGGGTAAGGTGAAGATTACATTTAAAATTCTTGGCCAGGTGTGGTGGCTCATGCCTGTAACCCAAACACTTTGGGAGGCTGAGGCAGGCAGATCATGAAGTCAAGAGATCGAGACCATCTTGCCCAACACAGTGAAACCCTTATCTACTAAAAATACAAAAATTGGCCAGGCGTGGTAGCACGCGCTTGTTGTCTCAGCTACTTGGGAAGCTGAGGCAGGAGAATCGCTTGAACTCGGGAGTCAGAGGTTTCAGTGAGCCAAGATCACGCCACTGCACTCCAGCCTGGTGACAGAGCGAGACTCCGTTTCAAAAAAAAATTGTTTATCAGCTGATGGGAAATATCCAAACTTAGAGGATAGCGTTTAAGACACTTAACAATGGGCTCTGTCTTGACAGCGTCAGGTTAATTACAAATCATCACAGAAGAATGGAAAGTGATTCTGACATTGTCTTCCTAAAGGTAGCACAGGTTACACACTGAGAAGTATTGCTGCTTAATGCAAAGGAGGCTCAAAGGCAAACAAAGACCAGGAATGAACTCTCTAGGGCCACCACTCCTCATGCCCAGCCACCTGTTGCCATGCAGAGAATGAAGGACCAGTATTACCACATCCTTCAACCTAAGGGAAGCTGGGGATCAGGACTTTCACCGCAATCTACCAACACTGATATTTTGGCAATAATGTCAAATTAAAAATCATAACCAAGAGCCAGGTGTGGTGCTACATGCCGGCAATCCCAGCTATTCAGGTGATTGAGGTGAGAGGATGGATCAAGCCCAAGAGGAGCTTGAGATTGTCTTGAAAACAGTAACAAAACCCTATGTGGACCAATCAAAATTGCATCTATGGGGGATAGCTGAGTAAAATATGTGACTTCTACCAATGTCAACATCTTAGTTGTGATATTACACTACAGTTTTGCAAAATATTTATCTGTATGGTTTCTTACATGTCATGCAAATGAACCTACAGTTCAATCAGTATTTCAAAAACTCCGAAGCCAGCCAGGTGCAGTGGCTCACACCTGTAATTCATCCACCACTTTGGGAGGTCAAGGTAGGAGGATCATTTTAGCCTAGGAGTTTGAGGCCAGCCTGGACAACACAGAGATTAAAAAAAAACTATCCAAGTGTGGTGGAGTGTACCTGTGGTCCCGAAGCTGAGGTGGGAATTGTCTGAGCCCAGGACGTTGAGGCTGCAGTGAGCTGTGATCATGCATGCCTCTGCACCGCAGCCTGGGTGACAGAGCAAGATCCCATTACAAAAAAACAAAACAAAACCAAAAAACCCCAACTCAACTAGGAGCCAGATCCTTTGAGAGCTTTTCTCTGGATCAAGGATCAGCAGCTTAGACCTGTGGAATCTATCTAGCCTGGGGCTCCTAAACTACAGTACAGTTTAAGGAAGGAAGCAAGGAAGGTGGGAAGAAAAAGCAAGGAAGGAGAACACAGAGGACATGCAACATGGACCACATATGGCCTACAAAACCATACACATCTAGCCTTCACAGAACAGGGTTAGAGACTCCTGACCCCAGTCATTTATAACTTCATCCTGCCTGTGGCATCACCATACATGTAGTTACTTCAAATAAGAACCATGAACCTTATTTGCAGTCAGTCACTCCATACATACTTGTAAATAGAAAGCAAAATATATTATATACAACCGGTGAAATTACAACCGGTGAAATATTACTGAGCCTTGTAAAAAAGCAACAAAGGGGCCAGACACAGTGTGAATCACATCTTTAATTCCAGTACTTTGGGAGGCTGAGGTGGGAGGATCACCTGAGGCCAGGAGTTTCAAACCGGCCTGGTCAAAATAGTGAGACCCCATCTCTACAAAAGAAAAATGAAAACATTAGCCCCTAGGCATGGTGGTGCACACCTGTAGTCCCAGTTACTGAAGAAGTTGAAGCAGGAGGAACATTTGAGCCCAACAGGCTGAGGGACAAAAAAAGAAATGATAAAATAGTTACAAAAAAAGAAATGAATAAAATAGTTCAACTGATTGAGGCCACTGCTTGAGACAACATGATTAGAGAGACATTAACCTAAGGACTAGGGAGTGAGTGATGAGCACTAAATGTAATTAACTGTAGGACTGAGACTAAATGAAGGTCAAAGGTAGAACACATTACATCATTGCTCTATGCTCTCACAATGCAGAAACAGAACAATTAAGACGGGAGAAGCATACACAAAAACAAAAGTTTTGGCCAGGTGCGCTGGTTCACACCTGTAATCTCTGCACTTTGGGAGGCCAAGGCAGGCAGATCACAAGGTCAAGAGATCAAGACCATCCTGGCCAACATGGTGAAACCTTATCTCTACCAAAAATACAAAAAATATTAGCTGGGCGTGGTGGTGCAGGCCTGTAGTCCCAGCTACTCAGGGGGCTGAGGCAGAATTATTTGAAACCAGAACACAGAAGTTGCAGTGAGCCAGGATCACGTCACTGCACTCCAGCCTGGTGATAGAGCGGAACTCCATCTCAAAAACAAACAAACAAAAAAAACCAAGTTGTTTTTTTTTTTTAAAACCCATTATTTTCAAGAATACTGAAATCTAGTATAACATTTTATCATCCTGTGTCCTGGAGAACAAGGATTCTTGCATAAGAAAAAACACTTGGCTGGGCACTGTGGCTCACGCCTGTAATCCCAGCACTTTGGCAGGCTGAGGTAGGCAGATCACCTGAGGTCAGGAGTTCAAGACTAGCCTGGCAAAGAAACCCTGACCACTAGAAACACAAAAAATTCGCTGGGTGTGGTGGCAGGCACTTGTAGTGCCAGCTACTCTGGAGACTGAGGCAGGAGCATCCCTTGAACCTGGGAGGCGGAGGTTGCAGAGAGTCGAGATCCTGTCACTGCACTCCAGCCTGGTTTAAAGAGTAAGACTCTGTCAAAAACAAAACAAAACAAAACAAACAAAAAAACCACCACCACCAAATATCTTAGAGAATTGGTGAGATAAATAAAATACACACAAAAAAATAAAATAAAAAAATTAAAAAATAATAAACAATAAAAGAAAATTGGTGAAATAAAAATTCTGTAGTCTTGGATTTGAATACGGTAAGTCAATATAAAACTCAAGATACTGTTCCATATGTATATGTGTGTATGTGTGTATATACATATACGTCTACACAAATATGTATAGATATGGGTGCGCACACACACCCCTAAGTTCTGTCCAGAGAGATAAATCATAACCGAAATATTTAGGTGTTTTATTAACTGAAAAATGAGTCTTCAAGACATAAAGCATTATTAAGACTAAAGCAAGTCTCCTGTCTTATGAAAAAAGGCTTAATTTAAGAAAATGGTAACAATTCAGCCAGGTGCAATGGCTCATGCCTGTAATCCCAGCACTTCAGGAGGCCGAGGCGGGTGAATCATTTGAGGTCAGGAGTAAAAGACCAGCCTGGCCAACATGGTGAAAGCCAATCTCTACTGGAAAAAATAAAATAAAATAAAATAAAAAATAAAAAATAGCCGGGCTAGTGGCAGGCACCTGCAATCTCAGCTACTGAGGAGAACTGCTTGAACCCGGAAGGTCGACGTTGCAGTGAGCCGAGATTGCGCCACTGCACTCTAGTCTGGGTGAAAAGAGTGGAATTCTGAATCAAGGAAAAAAAAAATGTTACAATTTGAAACTTGCCTCTAGTAACATCCTTTAAAATGCATTAAGTGAAAACGTAATACAAATGGACAAGCCTGCCATTACAATGATGAATTACCAAAACAGAGAAAGCTAAACACAACTGGGAAACAGGCACAAAGTGAAAAAATAATTACAATGCCGGCCATTAAGAAGCATTATATATGAGTAGCTAGCATTTAAAGGAAAAGTCGTACTTGCAATGACAAGTAAAAGCCATCGTCTGGTCCTGTCAGTTCGGCCCAAATCTTAGTAGCTTCTTCCCATGACATTCCCCTCTCTACACTTATCTGTAAAAGAAATAACAAAATTTAAACTCATTTCTGTAAATGCCTCTCATGGGAAGATGATACTTCCACATGTACAACATTTTCTAAACTTACTGTGTATAATTCTACGTGGCCAGAGGTTGAATATCCTGGAGTCAGAAACTTTTTAACATCACTTTTCCTCACCTTTTCATCTCCAGAACCAAGATCTTGAACAAGAAAAAGAAACATATAAATGTAAAAAGAACATTTTTATCAAGTATACACATGATGTTTAAACAATTTATTCCACATGTTCCCTGGGGATGTTGGGGGGAAATGTTTCCTACTTACCTAAGATTCCCATATCATATCTTCCATTTTTTTTTGCATTTTGGACAACTGCAGTAAGCGTGTCCGCAAAATACTGAAATAATGAATTCTGCTGATGTACCTCCATGCCTAAAATTCTATTTAAGAATTTTCCTATGTTGTTATAATCTGTAATGACAAAAGATGAACGATTTCATGCATTCAAATGAATAACTTAAAAATTTTTATTCATCTAGGCTTAGTTCAAGTCCCACTTTCTCTTCTAAAAGTCTTTCTTGCATTGTCCTCACAGTAAGACTATAATCTGTCCATTTCTCTCTCTAGCAATTAGCACCACCGCAATACATGCTCAAAAAGTTTGTCAAATTGAATTTTTACATCTTCAGCCTTATTTATGAAAAGTATGTGGTGGCTCACGCTTGTAATCCAAGCACTTTAAAGGCCAAGGCAGACAGATCACCTGAGGTCGGGAGTTCAAGACCAGCCTGACCAACATGGTGAAACCCCTTCTTTTAAAAAATAGATAAATAAATAAAAATAAAAATAAAAAAAAGAAAAGTATAAACACAATTTGGTATATAAGAAAGTTGGGGTTGGGCACAATGGCTCATCCCTGTAATCCCAGCACTTTGGGAGGCCGTGGTGGGGAGATCACCTGAGGTAGGGAGTACAAGACCAGACTGATGAACATGGAGAAATCCTGTCTCTACTCAAAATACAAAATTAGCTGGGAGTGGTGGTGCATGCCTGTAATCCCAGCTACTTGGGAGGCTGAGGCAGGAAAACCACTTGAAGCCGGGAGGTGGAGGTTGCAGTGAGCTGAGATCTCGCCATTGCACTCCAGCCTGGGCAACAAGAGTGAAGAAACTCCATCTCAAAAAAAAAAAAAAAAAAAGAAAGAAAGAAAAAGAAAGTTGGTTCTTTAATACTGAATTCGCAACTGTAGCTGCACAATTAGTCTGGGCCTTTGCTACCAGTTCTGAGTTCCATCCCTGACTTCAGTAAATTTTTTTTCTTTTTTTTTTAAGGTGGGGTTTTACCACAATGGCCAGGTTGGTCTTGAACTCCTGAACTCAGGTGATCCACCCACCTCGGCCTCCCAAAGTGCTAGGATTACAGGCGTGAGCCACAGCGCCCAGCCAGTAAATTTTTTTCTTTTAAGGCACAGTCTCCCTCCTGTTGCCCAAGCTAGAGTACAATGGTGCAACCTCGGCTTATTCCAACTTACACCTTCCTGGGTTGAAGTTATTCTCCTGCCTCAGCCTCCTGAGTAGCTGGAATTACAGGCACCTGTAACCACACCTGGCTAATTTTCTTTGGTGTTTTCAGTAGAGATGGGTTTCACCATGTTGGCCAGGCTGGTCTCAAACTCTTCACGTCATGATCTGCCTGCCTCGGCCTCCCAAACTGCTGGGATTACAGGCATGAGCCACCATGCTCAGCCCACTTCAGTAATTTTTAAACGCTTGAGAGCTCATCATATTAGCAGCCGGTGTTGAAAACCACTGCTCTACTTATGGATCTCTTATGAGTACCCTACAACAGCCAAAATCACCCAGAATGTTACAGGAAGATGAAGCATCCCCTTCAGCTGGAAAGCGTATGTCATAATGAACTTTAATACTATAGCAACAGTTACACACCTACACAAAGTTAATAGTAGTACCTTTATCAAGAGTAAGAATTCCTGAGCGATCTTCTACATTTATCAGACCAACTCCTATCAGTCCTTGTCGAACATCTGTAAGAACAGGATCAACTGTGACTCATAAATTATAAGGGAAGTCTGCAATGTATCGTTAAGTGAGACAAGTATGTTGTAAGTAATATCACGCCATTAAAAAAAAAAACCAAATCTTGGTGTTTTAGATAAATATTGGGAAAATGTGGAAAGAACTGCCCCTGTTTACACTGTCATCTGTGACCTAGGAAAGTGAGGATGGAAGAAGGATTATGGGGACCATATTATTAACTCTCTTCATTATCTACTTTTAGATTCTTTTCTTTTTTTTTTTTTTGAGACGGAGTTTCGCTCTTGTTACCCAGGCTGGAGTGCAATGGCGCGATCTCGGCTCACCGCAACCTCCGCCTCCTGGGTTCAGGCAATTCTCCTGCCTCAGCCTCCTGAGTAGCTGGCATTACAGGCACGCACCACCATGCCCAGCTAAATGTTTTGTATTTTTAGTAGAGACGGGGTTTCACTATGTTGACCGGGATGGTCTCGATCTCTTGACCTCGTGATCCACCCGACTCGGCCTCCCAAAGTGCTGGGATTACAGGCTTGAGCCACCGCGCCCGGCCCACACTGATATATATTTAAAAGCCAGGCTTGAGCCACCGCGCCCGGCGACTTTTTTTTTTTTTTTTTTTTTTTTTGAGACAGTCTTGCTCTGTCACCCAGGCTGGAGTGCAATGGTGAGATCTCGGCTCAACGCAACTGCAACCTCTGCCTCCTGAGTTGAAATGATTCTCCTGCCTCAGCCTCCCAAGTAGCTGGCACTATAGGTGCACGCCACCACACCTGGCTAATTTTTGTATTTTTAAGTAGAGACAGGCCATGTTGGCCACACCTGGCTAATTTTTTATTTTTAAGTAGAGACTGGCCTTGTTGGCCAGGCTGGACTCAAACTCCTGACCTTAGGTGATCTTTCTGCCTTGGCCTCCCAGAGTGCTGGGAATATAGGCTTGAGCCACCTCACCCAGCTGTGAGATTATTTACATTACTTATAATAAACAAGTAATCTATCTATCTATCTATATTTTGAGATGGAGTCTCATTCTGTTCCTCAGGCTGGAGTGCAATGGCATCATCTTGGCTCACTGTTACCTCCGCTTCTCAGGCTCAAGGATCATCCCACTTCAGCTTCCTGAGTAGCTGGGACTATAGGCGTGCACCACCGTGCCTGGCTAACGTTTTTCTTTTTTTTTTTTTTTGAGACGCAGTTTTGCTCTTGTTACGCAGGCTGGAGTGCAATGGCGCGATCTCGGCTCACCGCAACCTCCGCCTCCTGGGTTCAGGCAATTCTCCTGTCTCAGCCTCCTGAGTAGCTGGGATTACAGGCACGCACCACCATGCCCAGCTAATTTTTTTGTATTTTTAGTAGAGACGGGGTTTCACCTTGTTGACCAGGATGGTCTCGATCTCTTGACCTCGTGATCCACCCGCCTTGGCCTCCCAAAGTGCTGGGATTACAGGCTTGAGCCACCACGCCCAGCCGTTTTTCTATTTTTTTAGAGATGCGTTTTCACCGTGTTGCCCAGGCTGGTCTTGATCTCCTGAGCTTAAATGATCCACCTCCCTTGGCCTCCAAAAGTGCTGAGGTCACAGGTATGAGCCACTGCGCCTAGCCATAACATGTAATGTTAAGAAGTTAGAAATAAATCAAGGAGTCTTTTTTTCTCCTTTTTTTTCTAAGACAGGATCTCTGTCACCCAGGCTGGAATGCAGTGGTGCCATCACAGCTCACTATAGCCTCTACCTCCAAGGCTCAAGCAATCCTCACACTTCAGCCTCCCAAAGTGCTGGGATTACAGGCATGAGCCACCACGCCCAGTTGTTTTGACACTCCCTCTTATGATCAAAAGGAGAGAAGGTGTAGGGTTAAGATTGTTTTGCTTTTGTAGAAAGCTGAGAGTAATGATGAACACCCGTAATTAGTATGTCAATATTAACTGTTAACAACACATATCAGTATGTGCTAACGTACCAAAAGGATTTTCTTTTTTTTTTTCTTTTTTTTTTTTTTTAAATATGGAACGCTTCACGAATTTGCGTGTCATCCTTGTGCAGGGGCCATGCTAATCTTCTCTGTATCGTTCGAATTTTAGTATATGTGCTGCCGAAGCGAGCACCCAAAAGGATTTTCTAGTGAAAAATGCTAACTCCATCTGGGTGTGGTGGCTCATATATATAATATCAGCATTGTGGGAGGCTAAGGTGGGCAGATCACATCAGGCCAGGATTTCAAGATCAGCCTGGCCAACATGGCGAAACCCCATCTCTACTGAAAATACAAAAATGAGCCAGGCACAGTGGCAGGCACCTGTAATCCCAGCTACTTGGGAGGCTGAGGCAGGAGAATCCTTTGAACCTGGTCTCGGAGGGTGCAGTGAGCTGAGATCACACCACTCCAGGCTGGGCAACAGAGCAAGACTCTGTCTCCATATCTTACAACTACTAATTGTACAAAATATATTCAGTTTCCCTGGACTACCAAATTCATCTAGACTACTTACACTTACAGAGTAGGTTATGATCTATTCTACAGACATTGCACATACAAGATTTGTACTGTAAATATAAAAAGTCTTAGGTAGTAAAATAAAAATAAAAATTCTCAGATCCATATTGCAAATCCTATACTTTTCAAAAAATATGAACATTTCCGGCCGGGCATGGTGACTCACACTTGTAATGCCAGCACTTTTGGAGGCTGAGGCAAGTGAATCACGAGATCAGGAGTTTGAGACCAGCCTGGCCAACATAGTAAAACCCCATCTCTACTAAAAATACAAAAAATTAGCTGGGCGTGATGCAGGTGCCTGTAATCTCAGCTACTTGGGAGGCTGAGGCAGGAGGATCACTTGAACCCAGGAGGTAGAGGTTGCAGTGAGCTGAGATCAATCACATCATTGCACTCCAGCCCAAGTGACAGTGCAAGACTGCCTCAAAAAAACAAAACAAAACAAAAATCTGTGAGCCACATGTATCTCACTCAGTTTAAACAACTGTGAATTCATGGCCAATCTTATTTCATCCAAACTTCCCACTCCCACCAATCAATACTCACAAATTATTTACCTAGGGAATTTTTCAACTTTAAAATAAAATTTTAAACCTATTTGGCAAAGTGATTTTACTGAATGTACTAACATGACTTTCCTCTATTAAATCTATTAATAGACAAACATGCGGCCGGGCGCGGTGGCTCACGAGGTTAAGAGATCCAGACCATCCTGGTCAACATGGTGAAACCCCGTCTCTACTAAAAATACAAAAAATTAGCTGGGCATGGTGGCGCATGCCTGTAATCCCAGCTATTCAGGAGGCTGAAGCAGGAGAATTGCCTGAGCCCAGGAGGCGGAGGTTGCAGTGAGCCGAGATCGCGCCATTGCACTCCAGCCTGGGTAACAAGAGCGAAACTCCGTCTCAAAAAAAAAAAAGACAAACATGCTTTCACTGTATCAAGAGTAAGAGGACCTTCATTTGAATAAAATTTGTTTTAATAAAGCTATTTAAAATAAGACACTTACGTGTACTAATAACCATTAATTAGAAAGTTTTATACAATTCATGTCCAAAGAAAAAAAACTAAAATGACAGCAAATGTTAGAACTATTAGAAAAGGTTTGAATATATCTTTGTCATTGTAATGAGTATTTTTAAGTTACCTTTAAAAAATTCTCCAGGATAGTCTGGAGGTGGTGATACCATAGGGGAATCCAAGTTCACAATGGATTTCATGACAATTTCTAAAGCATTTCTTCCATACTGCAAAAAAAAAAAAAAAAAAAAAAAACAACAACAAAAAACAAAAAACAAAAACAAAAACAAAACCGAAAAGAAAAAAGAAAAAAATAAATCAAAACCTTTAACCAGTTTCAGCATTTGGATACTCTTTTAATCACATGACCCCACCTAAATACTATAAAACTACTGGCAGGGCGTGGTGGCTCACGCCTGTAATCCCAGCACTTTTGGATCATCAGAGGTCAGGAGTTCAAGATCAACCTGACCAAGATTGCACCAGTGCACTCCAGCCTGGGCAACAAGAGCAAAACTCCATCTGAAAACAAAACAACTACTGTACCAAAGATTCAAAAAAATCAATTCTCAGCTGGGCACAGTAGCTCATGCCTGTAATCCCAGCACTTTGGGAGGCCAAGGTGGGCAGATCACCTGAGGTCGAGAGTTTGAGACCAGCCTGATCAACATGGAGAAACCCGGTCTCTACTAAAAATACAAATTAGTTGGGTGAGGTGTTGCATGCCTGTAATCCCAGCTACTCAGTAGACTGAGGCAGGAGAATTGGTTGAACCCAGGAGGCAGAGGTTGCAGTGAGCAGAGATCAGGCCACTGCACTCCAGCCTGGGCAACAAAAGCAAAACTCCGTCTCAAAAAAAAAAAAAAAAAAAAATCAGTTCGATTATCTTACACGTTTATTGTTTTTTCTTTTTTGGAGACAGAGTTTTGCTATTGTCACCCAGGCTGGAGTGTTAACAATCTCGGCTCACTGCGACCCCATCTTCCTGGGTTCAAGAGGTTCTCCAATCTCAGCCTCCTGAGTAGCTGGGAGTACAGGTGCGTGCCACCATGCCAGGCTAATTTTTTATGTTTTTAGTAGAGATAGGGTTTCACCACACTGGCCAGGATAATTTTGATCTCTTGACCTTGTGATCTGCCCGACTCGGCCTCCCAAATTGCTGGGATTACAAGCATGAACCACCATGCATGGCCACTCCAGACTAATTTTGGTGTATTTTTTTGAGACAGAGTATCCCAGGTTGTGATCTCAGCTCACTTCAAGTTCTGCCTCCTGGGTTGAAGCGATTCTCCTGCCTCAGCCTCCCAAGTAGCTGGGACTACAGGCAGGTGCCACCATGCCTGGTTAATTTTGCATTTTTCGTACAGATGTGGTTTCATTATGTTGACCAAAGTGGTCTTAACTCCTGACACCAGGTGATCCACTTGCCTCAGCTTCCCAAAGTGCTGGGATTACAAACGTGAGCCACCACGCCTCCGCCTAATTTTTGTACTTTTTTAGTAGAGACATAATTACACCATGTTGTTGGCCAGGCTGGTCTCGAACTCCTGACCTCAGGTGATCCACCCACGTTGGCCTCCCAAAGTGCTGGGATTACAGGTGTGAGCCACACTGCCTGGCTGTTACGTATATTTTATTTATACTGCTAGTTCATGCCTCTGCATATAATGAACAAGAAAAATTAACTTCCTTTACTTCTGATAACTCAGTGAATTCATTTCCATTTACTCCTGTTTTCCAAAAGCAATGAAAAGACAACTATATTGCTGTACTGATCACTCACACGTACTCTAACTTACACGTGAAATTCTATGTCTTACAGGAAGCCATGATTTTAAAGCAAACCCACAAAAGAGGCAGTTTTGTTTTAGACAGTAACTACTTTTCTTTTTTGTTCCCTACAGGCACCATACACTATCTGAAGTTTTCAGAGATACTGGAAGTTGAAATGTACCTTATTGTCAAAGTTGAACCTGCTCAGATCCCTAGATTCTGTTGCTCTTCTGTCGCCATGTGTAAGTGCCCCCTATCAAAACAAAAATTTAAATCAAGGCATAGGTAACCTTTAAGCAGAAAATAGGTACCAGAGATCATCTTTTACAAAAAGCCACACAACTCTAAAACTCACCAAACTCTCAAGTCTTTTAGCAACAATAGATGCAAATCTTTGTTCTCCTGCCAGTTCAGAAATCAGGAAGACATACTCGGGAGCAGTAACTTGGTTTGATCTATGAGTTCGTCCTGCAACAAAATTGTTTTTAAAAGATCACTGATTGTGTTCACTGGACAGAGACAGAATATTCTGAGATGGATTCCTGGCATTTAACACTAAACTGGTATTGGGAAACCATTAAACAAGAAAACTTACAGAAAATGTAAAATTTAACAAAACACAACAGAATTATAAAATCAAAAATAGGGCTGGGCGCGGTGACTCACACCTGTAATCCCAACACTTTTGGAGGCCAAGGCAGGCAGATCACAAGGTCAGGAGTTCGAGACCAGCCTGGCCAACATGGTGAAACCCCATCTCTACTAAAAATACAAAAATTAGCCAGGCATGGGGGCACATGCAGTGTGCCAAGATTGCACCACTGCACTCTGCCCTGGGGGATGGGATAGAGCGAGACTTTGTCTGGGGAAAAAAAAAAAAGAAGAAAATATTGGCTTGAAAGAGCTCCATATACAGAGTAACACTAAACCTGCCATAAAACTGCTCAATGATAGAAGTATTAGCATTGCTACCCCAATTTTGGTTAACCACACGTTGCTGATGCACAGCTTATGTGCATCATGATTCTCCCCAGACAGGTTTTCAAATCACTGGTCACAAGAACATGAAGATGAAGGGAGGAGCTACGTGCCTTTGGTAAAGCTACTGAAGTTTGAAAAACATATGGAAATAGCAACTTCACTGACATAGATCTAATACATCCTAAAGTTTTATGAGGAGCCCTGTTCTTAGAACCCCATAAATTCCCACTACCATGTATATATATTTTTTACAACTTGTAAATAGACAAAAATTGAATTCATAATGCACCATATACTATAAGGTATATCTAACACTCCTTAAAGGCAAAATCTGAGATTTTGAGTTATAAGATATAAGACACTGGCCGGGTGCGGTGGCTCATGCCTGTAATCCCAGCTCTTTGGGAGGCGGAGGCAAACAGATCACCTGAGGTCAGGAGTTTGAGACCAGTCTGACCAACATGGAGAAACCCCATCTCTACTAAAAATAGAAATTAGCTGGATGTGGTGGCACATGCCTGTAATCCCAGCTATTTGAGGGGCTAGGGTAGGAGAATTGCTTGGACCCAGGAGACAAAGGTTGCAGTGAGCTGAGAATGTGCCATTGCACTCCAGCCTAGCCAACAAGAGTAAAACTCTGCGTCAAAAAAAAATTGAAAAGGCCGGGCGCGGTGGCTCACGCCTATAATCCCAGCACTTTGGGAGGCCGAGACGGGTGGATCACGAGGTCAAGAGATTGAGACCACCCTGGTCAACATGGTGAAACCCCGTCTCTACTAAAAATACAAAAATTAGCTGGGCATGGTGGCGCACGCCTGTAGTCCCAGCTTCTTGGGAGGCTGAGACAGGAGGATTGCCTGAACCCAGGAGGCGGAAGTTGCGGTGAGCTGAGATCGTGCCATTGCACTCCAGCCTGGGTAACAAGAGCGAAACTCGGTCTCAAAAAAAAAAAAAAAAAAACAAAAAAAAACTGAAAAGACATTAAACATAGATTTTTTAGTTTTTCTTGTGACAAGGTCACGCTCTATAACCCAGGCTAGAGTGCAGTGATGCAATCATACCTCATGGCAACCATGAACTCCTGGACTCAAGTAATCCTCCTACCTCAGCCTCCTGAGTAGCTAGGACTATAGGCACACACCACCACACCCAGCCAGCTTATCCATCAGTCCATCCAATCCATCCATCCATTTATTTATTTATTTTTATTGTTTTTAGATGGAGTCTCCCAATGTTGCCCAGGTTGGAGTACAGTGTACCGATCTTGACTCATTGCAACCTCCACCTGCCAGGTCCAAGTGATTCTCCTGCCTCAACCTCCTGAATAGCTGGTATTACAGGCGTGTGCCATCGCACCCAGTTAATTTTTTGTATTTTAAGTAGGGGCGGGGTTTCACCATGTTAGCTAGGCTGGTCTCAAACTATGACCGCAAGTGATCCGGCCTCAGCTCCCAAATGCTGGGATTATGGGTGTGAGCCACTGCGCTTGGCTTAGTTTTTTCTTTTGGTGGAAACAGGGTCTCACCATGTTGTCCAGGCTGGTCTCAAAATCCTAGACTCAGGTTATCCTCCCACAGTGGCCTCCCAAGTGTTGGGATTACAGACCACTGTGCTCGGCCTAAACCTATGTTTTAATATGCATAAATTTACCCAATGATCCAATGATTCCTAGCTATCCATTAAGTAAAATCCAGTGTAGGAACTTACCGAATTGTTGAATTGCTCTATCAGCACTCCAAGGTAATTCTAAAGTCATATGAACTCTTCGCCTTTGATTTTTAGCTCTCCTGTCTGCTTGTAATGAAATACCCGAGCTGGCAGCTTCTGAGATGATAGCAATATTCTATATCAAATATAAGAGAAATAAAATCACCTTTGCATAACAAGCAGGCCAGTGTCTTAAAAGAAGTTCTTTAGCAAACCACTTACTCTCTTTCTCAATAAAAAGACTTCCAATTTTATTGCCCAGTCTTCCTTACAGCTAAGTGTGAACATTCTCCAGCTAGAAGGGTGTAGGTAAAATGTATGATGCCCAGGAAATGTCCCTAAAAGGAGGAGACATGCCCTTCTCATCCCCTTGTCTCCTCCCTGTTACGTAAAATTTAGAGGTACTGACAAGGTCTGGAACAGCTATCTTGGAATGCAGAAGTAACTTGGAAACGGATGTCAATATAATTTAATAGACAATACGGAAGATGCCTGGGCTTCAAAGGGGCATACAAGCCCTGCTCTACCTACCCGAATGTATCCATGAAAGAAATAAGCATCTTTTTCTTTTTTTTGAGATGGTGTCTCACTCTTGCCCAGGCTATGATCTTGGCTCACTGCAACCTCTGCTTCCCAGGTTGAAGCGATTCTCCTGTCTCAGCCTCCTGAGTAGCTGAGATTACAGGCGCCCGCCACCATGCCCAGCATTTTTTTTTTTTTTTTTTTTGAGACGGAGTCTGGCTCTGTTACCCAGGCTGGAGTGCAGTGGTGTGATATCAGCTCACTGCAACCTCTGCCTCCCAGGTTCAAGCAATTCTCCTGCCTCAGCCTCCAAAGTAGGTAGGACTAAAGGTGCACGCCACCACGCTCAACTAATTTTTTTTTGTATTTTTAGTAGAGAAGGAATATTCACTGTGTTAGCCAGGACAGTCTCAATCTCCTGACCTCATGATCCACCCGCCTTGGGTTCCCAAAGTCCTGGCATTACATGCATAAGCCACTGCACCTGGCCACATCTATCTTACTGAAGTCAATACTTAATAGACTTTATATTTTCTGCTATTTAACAACCAAAACTAATTCCAACTAATGTAATTCCTAACGCATATGGGCCTAGATTCATGAAGCAATTATATGAAATAACTAATACCTCTACCTACAATCTTGAAAATATATAACATTATCTTTTGTATCTATCTATCTATACATTTTTGAGACAGGGTCTCACTCTTTCACACAGGCTGGAGTACAGTGGTGCAATCACAGCTCTCTACAGCTTTCACCTCTCAAGCTCAAGCAATCCTCCTACCTTAGCCTCCTCAGCAGTTGGGACTGTTGGGCACATGCCATCACATGACTGTTTTCCCCTGTAGAGGGGGGGTCCCACTGTGTTGCCCAGGCTGGTCTTGAACTTTTGTAGTCCTAGCACTTTGGGAGACTGAGGCAGGGAGATCACTTGAGGTCAGGAGTTCAAGACCAGCCTGGCCAATATAACGAAACCCTGTCTCTACTAAAAGCACAAAAATTAGCCAGGTGTGGTGGTGTGTGCCTGTATTCTCAGCTTACTCAGGTGGCCAAGGACCAAGAATCTCTTGAAGCCAGGAGACGGAGGTGGCAGTGAGCTGAGATCATGGCAGTGAGCCGAGATAACACCACTGCATTCCAGCCTTAGGGACAAAGTGAGGCTCTGTCTCAAACAAACAAACAAAAAGTCTACAGTAAGAGTCTCTGGGCAAGAGCGATGGCTCATGCTTATAATCCCAGCACTTTGTGAAGCCAAGGTGGGTGCACCACTTGAGGTCAGGAGTTCAAGACCAGCCTGGCCAATATGGTGAAACCTCTATCGAAAAACACAAAGATTAGGCAACAAAAACAAAACAACAAAAAGATTAGTCAAGCATGGTGGCATGCGCCTTTAGTCCCAGCTACTCAGGAGGCTCACAAGAATGACTTCAACCTGGAAGGTGGAGGTAACAGTGAGCTGAGATCATGTCAGTGCACTCCAGCCTGGGCGACAGAGGAAGACTCTGTCTGGAGGCACCCAAAATCTCTACAACGGTCGAATATGAGAGTCTAATCTATAAGCCATTTATAGTAAATCACCTTAATATAACATGATATAGCAATAAACACTGAAACCAAAGTTACTAATAATATGGACATGCATAAATATTTTAGACTCAAAATCAGAATGACACTAGAGTAACAACAGATATCACAATACCAAGATGAACTAAGAGAACATAGTATTTTTATATCACGATTAAATATTTCAAAAGCCTCCAAAGCACTCAAGAGTCAGATCTAATTCTATGCATAATATACAACACTCATTACATTCAATGATACAGTAATAAAAACATGTATTCAGTGAGTATGCGCAATCACTAAAAAAATGTGCATAATAGCTCCTGTCACCCAGGCCAGAGTGCAGTGGTGTAATCTCAGCTCACTGCAACCGGCACCTCCCAGGCTCAAGCTAACCTCCTACCTCAGCCTTCTGAGCATCTGGGACTACAGGCATGCAGTACCACATCCGGCTGATTTTTTGTATTATCAGTAGAGAGTGGGTTTCACCATGTTGCCCAGGCTAGTCTCAAACTCCAGAGCTCAAGCAATCCATCTGCCTCAGCCTCCCAAAGTGCTGAGATTATAGCCCTGAGCCACTGCACCAGGCCTATACTTACTATATGCAATGACAAAATAATAAAAACAGGTAAAATATTTAGCATGTGTAATTACCGAAAAATACAGAATGACAATACTCAATGAACTTGTATTAAAAGGAAAAAAAATCCCTTCTAAAGATAACGCTTCACTGAGAAGCATCCCAGAAAAACATACCTTATCTCCATCCATAAATCGCTGTTTTTCTGTGATGTTTAGTATTTCCACAGGCACATCAAGTTCAGATCTTGATTCATAAGATATGCTTCCATCATCATTGCTCACAACCCGTCCCTTGCGGCCAGTCATCTGAGGGAGCCAACGTCATTACAATGAAGGTATCTGACTGCGGGGCATGGACTCAGTGCCTCTTTCCTTAAAGACACTTGGGAAATAAAAGCACACGTTGTGCTGCACCAGGCACTGGAGGATACAGAACAGTACAACACAGTCCCTGGAAAAAGCTGACGTGTGGCCACGATCACAAAAGCTGTGTGACAAGTGCAGTAACCAGGACAGTGGCTTGGGACAGACACTCAGATACTAGAGGCAGCACTTCACTGGATCTGGGATGGCAACTAAAGTAGAACAAGAAATCTACGATCTAAAAAAATTAGATTATTATGTAATAACACTCAAAATACAACTCATTTTATAGGGGTTCAAATGGCAAAAATGTCACCAAGACATACAGGCATATTTACCTCGGCAACATTCTCAGGGCCACCAAGTTCATCGATAAGTTCATCCAGGGTATTAGGCGGGAGGTCTTCAGCTAATTTTTCTAGTTTTTCAAGCAGGTCTTTCTTCATCTGCTGAGCCCTTTCCACGGCATCCTGACTTGTTATAAGGCTGCTGTTACTGTTGGTGTTACTGTTAGCTAGATAAAGAACATTTGTTAAAAGTCAATACAAAGTTTAACTATTTTTGTTTAAAACCATATTTCAACAAGTAAGTTTCTACATGGATACCTGGTGTACTGTTAGAAGCAGGTGAGATAACTGGTGTAGATGAAAAACTGGGTCGTTTTGATCCAAGACCTGATGCTAATAAGGCACTTTGAATAGAATCTGGATCTATACTTTTCTTCTTTTTCTTCTCTTTGTTTTTCTTGTGATCTTTCCTGATTAACCAGGGATCTGAGCATTAAGGGAAGATATACGCCAAATCATTTGTTAAAAAAGTACAGACTCTTTAAAGGGAACAGCCTTTGAAACCTAGGACTACAGGCACATGCCACCATGACCAGCTAATTTTTTTTTGTCCAGACAGAGTCTCACTCTGTCTCCCAGGCTAAAGTGCAGTGGCATAACTTAATAACTGATAACCTGTCACCACCTACACTGGTCCATTGATAAACCATGGGGTACAAATCCATGTTTTCAGGTTAAAAATAACTGCACAAAAATTGAGGTTATCTTCTCACATACATGAAAGAACCTCCAGAAGGCAGGTAAGCCTGGAGCTCTCCACCAAGCAAAGATTAGAATCTGTGTGATCATTTGTACTGTACAAAAAAAAGGTTTAATATCCCATTTTTAAATACACTAAAATATTAACTATGCTTTAGTGTATATTCAATATATTGATAAACTTACCATTTTCATCATCCTCACTAGACTCATCTCTAAATGGGTTGAAATCATCATCATCTCCAGAACTCATGTTTTTAGAGCTGTCATAGTCACTTTCTTCATTATCAGAGGCGTCAGATTCACTTCCACTGTCATCAGAACTGCTACCGGTAAGTCCACCTACTTTTCGTGCTTTTTTGGCTTCTCGAGTTATTTCTTCACCTACCCCCAACACAATCAAGAGAGTCAGCCCAAATTCAATGTTCTTAAGATCCAGTACTTATTTAGTTCATGAATTAATTCAAATGAAAAGTGCGAAGGAAAAGCATTTATTTAAGTCAAAGAAAAAACAGAATTTAAAAATCAGTGGTAACCTTTTGGACTTCCATAAGAAATACGGTTATAAACATTTATTCTCAAGAAGAAATTAGATACATTAAGTACTAAGTCAAGATCGCTTTCAAGTGCGCAAGTTTCAAAACAAATTCAGAACAACAGAGTAAGAGCAGAACCTCGGGCACAGCCACAATTTGACTGTGGTCCTACTGGAGGTCTAGTAATTATAGGTTTATTGACATACTCAGAAAATTGATTCATAAAACCTTTTTATTTTTGGACACAAGGCCTCACTCTGTTGCCCAGGCTAGAGTGCAGTGGCACAATCGTAGCTCACTGCAGCCTCAACTTCCCTGGCTCAAGTAATCCTCCCACCTCAGCCTCCTCAGTACCTGGAGCTATAGGTACATGCCACCATGACCAGCTATTTTTTCCCCGCCAGACAGTCTCACTCTGTCTCCCAGGCTAAAGTGCAGTGGCATGATCTTGGTTCACTGCAACCTTTGCCTCCTGAGTTCAAGTGATTCTCCTGCCTCAGCCTCTTGCATAGCTGGAATTATAAGGTGCCCCTGCCATCAGTCCCAGCTGTTTTATATTTTAAGAAGAGATGGGGTTTGGCATGTTGGCCAGGCTGGTCTTTAACTCCTGACACCAAGTGATCTGCGACCTTGGCCTCTCAAAGTACTGGGATTACAGACATGAGTCACTGTGCACAGATTGAGAACTTATTTTTTTTTTTTTTCTGAAGACAGGGTTTCTCTCTCTATAGCTCAGGCTGCAGAGCAATGGTATGATCTTGGCTCACTGACACCTCCGCCTCCCGGGTTCAAGCGATTCTCCTATCTCAGTTTCCCAAGTAGCTGGAATTACAGGCATACACCACAATGCCTAATTTTTTTGGTATTTTTTGGTAGAGACTGGGTTTCTCCACATTGATTATAGGCTAGTCTAGAACTCCTGACCTCAGGTGATCCGCCGCACCAGGCCGAAGTTAACTTCTAAAAGCCAAACAGGTCTGGGTAATGGCTCATGCCTACAATCCCAGCACTTTGGGTGGCTGAGGTGGGCACACTGCTTGAGCCCAGGAGTTCGAGACCAGCCTGGCCAACATGGTGAAACCCTGTCTCTACCAAAAATACAAAAATTAGCAGGGTGTGGTGGTGCATGCCTGTAATCCCAGCTCCCTGTACCGGGAGGTGGAGGCTGTAGTGCACCAAGATGGTGCCACTGCACTCCAGCATGGGAGACAGAGGGAGACCCTGCCTCAAAAAAAAAAAAAGCTCTTTTAAAGACTACTGAAACACCCAACTCTACATATATTAAAAAATAGGTCTGACAATAGAAAGACACAGGTTTTAATACCCATGCATCATAAACTACCTCTGTGAACCTAGGACAACTCTTTAACTTTTAAATCTTTCCGTGCTTCAGTGATCTCTGTTTATAAAACTGGAAAAATAAGACCTAATTTCCTATGGACCTCTGTCAGGTTAAACGGTAGAATGTATATAGGCAAGTGCTTAACACACTGCCACCACCAGTGAATTGCTCAAGTCCTAATTTAAAACAGAGGGATAACTTGTGCATTCAAAATTGTACAAGTGACAGTGAAAATTTGTAACCACTTTTGAATTCGTGGAAGACAGTTTATTACCAAAATATAGCCACTTTAAAATGCTTACATTCTTGGTATTTTCATCGTCAACTATTTTCTTAAAAAGTACTCACCTTTCCGCTTCTTTACTTTATTTTCTTTACAAGGACTATCTCTTGGTGAACTGTTGTTACTTGGAGCTGTCAAATCGATTCCTAGCAAACTATAAAGTTTTTTCCTGTCTGGAGCAGGAAAATGTTTTTCGATGAGTGACTGCAACACACCTCTGTAGGAGAGAAAAAGCAACAAATTAACAATTACTGCTTCAGCTGACAAAACAATTATATGTAAAGTCTTATGAAACAGATTGAAAAACACCTTGTTCAATTTTACAAAATACTGATAAACAAGCTCAAATAAATTTTAATTGTCTAGCTCAAGGCTGTCCAACTAAATAAGAATGCAAGTCAAACTACATACATAATTATACACAATTATTATATTTTCTAGTTGCTTACATTAAAAAGTAGGGGAAAAAAACTGGTGGAACTAAGTTTAGTAATTCATTTTATTTAACTCAATATACCACAGCAACACATGTTTTACATATTTTTTCTTAAGGAGTCTTTGAAACCTGGCTTAGTACACACATACAGCACTTCAATATGGACCAGTCATTTCAACTGCCCAATAGCCACATGTGATGAGTGGCTGCCATTACAGACAGGGTAGTTCTGGGCAATTACGTACAGAAAAATATATATTAGCAGGTGTATGCATTTTTTTTTTGTTTGTTTTTTTGAGATGGAGCCTTGCTGTTGCCCAGGCTGAGTGCACTGGTGCAATCTCAGCTCACTGAGACCTCCACTTCCAATGTTCAAGCAAATCTCTGCCTCAGCCTCCTAGGTAGCTGGGATTACTGGCGTCCACCAACAGGCTCAGCTAACTTCGGTATTTTTAGGAGAGACAGGGTTTCACCAGCTTGGCCAGGATGGTCTTGAACTCCTGACGTCATGATCCACCCACCTTGGCCTCCCAAAGTGCTAGGATTATAGGTATGAGCCACCATGCCTGGTCAACTTTTTTTTTTTTTTTTTTTGAGATGGGAGTCTTGCTCTTGTTGCCTAGGCTGGAGTGCAATGGTACAATCTTGGCTCACTGCAACCTCTACCTCCCAAGTTCAGGCAATTCTCCTGCCTCAATGTGCCCAGTAGCTGGGATTACAGGTGCCTGCCATCATGCCTGGCTAATTTTTGTATTTTTAGAGACAGGGTTTCACCATGTTGGCCAGGCTGGTCTCAAACTCCTGACCACCAGTGATCTGCCCACCTCAGCCTCCCAAAGTGCTGGGATTACAGGAGTGAGTCCCATGTTTTGCTTTTAAAAGGAGCATTTAAATGCATCCCGAGGCACAAAACAGTAAAGTGGCAAGTTTACTTTGCTCAATTTACTACCAGAATCAGAATTTGCAGGTTAAGCAAACTAAAAACAATACATAAAACATTGTAGGCATTGTTTTTTGAAGATCTCATGCTTAATTCTCAACTTTTAAAGTAGAGTTGCTTTTTCTTTTTTTTCTGAGATAGGGTCTCACTTTACCACTCAGACTGGAGTGTAGTGGTGCAATCTCAGCTCACTGGAACCTCCACCTCCTGGGTTCAAGCAATTCTCCTAACTCAGCCTCACAGGTACCTGGAACTATACGGCGAGTGCCACCAGGCCCAGCTAATTTTTGTATTTTTAGTAGAGATGGAGTTTTGCCATGTTGGCCAGGCTGGTCTCGAACTGACCACCTCGGCCTCCCAAAGTGCTGAGATTACAGGTGTGAGCTATCATGCTCAGCCAACTTATAAAGTAGGCTTCATTATATTAGGACAAACTATAGTTACTGCTCCTGTGGATAATGGTAATTTCAAATACAGAATGCTAAAACTGAAACTAAATCAAGCTGTCACACATTTCCAACATGTACAAGACAAACAAAATCAAGCCCTTCTGTTAAGTCATATACTCTGTGTAATACTGGCAAAATGCTTAACATTTGAGGATTATGAGATTTCTGTTGCTGTTTTCTAATAAATATACTGTTATAGAAAAGCACATTCCAAATACTCAGATCAAGAAAACTTATGATGTAGGTGAATCAAAAGTTTTGTCTCCAGGAAATGCCCACATTGGAACCAATCTAAGTAAGAACTCAAAAAGAAAAACAAAAACATTACTTGGCAGTTGAAACAAAATCATTCAATTCTCCCCCGCCCTCTTCCAAAGCTTCTAATGTTCTAGCTTCTCCTGTAGACTGCAGACCAATTACAACACACTGGAGAAAAAAAAAAGAAAACATGTTAATTACAAATAATAATGTTTGTGGATTCTTACCAAGACATATTTTAAATATTTAGCGAAACAAAAATTTCAAGCAACAATGTCCTCATTATTATAAAATACACATTCGTTTTAGTTATTTCTTCTGTTGAGACAGGTTATGTGTCAAAACCTTTCGCAGGAGACAGAATTACAAACAGTAGTAAGCATGAGTGGAGTCCCTGCCATTGCAAAGTTTGTAGTACCTAATACTTTAAGTAGATATTCACCAAAAGAAAAAACCTAATGCAATACACATCCATATGTTACTAGTGGTATCAGCTACAGATGACCAATAACAGTGATGTTTACTTTGTTATACTTTTCTGAGCTCTCTAAATTCTCCAAGCAGGAATTTCCTTTATAACTTTAAGAAACGTATTTTTTAGGAAAACCAGATTTTACAAGCAGAAAGACCTCAGCATCCACAAAAACTAAACAATATAACCCCAAAACAATGAATTTTTTAATGAGTTATTTGACTTACTTTTCCATTCTTGATTTCCTCTCGAGCTAGTTGCACAACCCTTTTAACTTTGGATGCTATACATAAGTATTTGAAAAACCTCTGATGAGCAGACCAGAACTGACCCCACATGGACTTCTTCATTCGTTGTTCAGCATCAATCAGATCTGCAGCTTGCTGAAACCGCTCTCTGGCAATGACCCACTGAAGATACACAAACAACATTTTAGACATTTCATCTTTGAGTATAGTTATTTAAAAATATCAATTAAATCAAAATAATGTTAAGTTCAAGGCCATTTAATATTAACCTAATAAATCATCTTCAGTAACTTAGAATTTATTTCTCAGGATACATAGTTGTCTCAAGTTTCTTAATACCTAATGCAGTCATTTTAGGAAATAATGTGATTTTTAAAACTATGCAACTGAAATAAATGACAATAATTTACTAATTACCTTAACAAAATGAAAACTTCGAAAATCTGAAATATAAGAACATTGATCAGGCCAGGTGCAGTGGCTCATGTCTATAATCCCAGCACTTTGGGAAGCCGAGGGCAGGCGGATCCCTTGAGCCCAGGAGTTCCAGACCAGCCTGGGCAACACTGTAAAACCTTGTCCCTACCAAAAAACATAAAATTAGCCAGGCGTGGTGGTGCACGCCTGCAGTCCCTCCTACTCAGGAGGCCAAGATGGGAACTGCTTGAACCTGGGACATGGGGGTTGCAGTAAGCTGAGATCACACCACTGCACTCCAGCCTAGGTGACAGAGTGAGAGACCCTGCCTCAAAAACAAACAAACAAAAAAACTACATCGGTTAAACAGCATATCATGTTTTTTTGTTTTTGTTTTTGTTTTTTCCCTGAGATGGAGTCTCCCTCTGTCACCCAGGCTGGAGTGCAGTGGTGCGATCTCAGCTCACTGTAACCTCCGCCTCCTGGGTTCACGCGATTCTCCTGCCTCAGTCTCCCCAAGTAGCAGGGACTACAGGTGCAGGACACCATGCCTAGCTAAACTTTTTTGTATTTTTGTAGAGATGAGGTTTTACCATGTTGGCCAGGGTGGTCTTGAACTCTTGACCTCAGGCAATCCGCCCACCTTGGCCTCCCAAACTGCTGGGATTATAGGTGTGAGCCATTGCATAAGGTCTCATCTGTTGTTTTTTTTTTTTTGAGACGGAGTTTCGCTCTTGTTACCCAGGCTAGAGTGCAATGGCGCAATCTCGGCTCACCACAACCTCTGCCTCCTGGGTTCAGGCAATTCTCCTGCCTCAGCCTCCCGAGTAGCTGGGATGACAGGCACGCGCCCACCATGCCCAGCTAATATTTTGCATTTTTAGTAGAGACGGGGTTTCACCATGTTGACCAGGATGGTCTCGATCTCTTGACCTCATGATCCACCCGCCTCGGCCTCCCAAAGTGCTGGGATTACAGGCTTGAGCCACCACGCCCGGCCTCATCTGTTGTTTTATAGCAGAAATACATTCCCATGGGCAGGAGGCATCACAATTGCCAAACCTAACGGACACATTATGAGATACATAAAATAAACACTGGAATTAAGAAAAATTCCTCACCAGCTTGACTGCTTTGTTATACATTTTAACATAGCTCTGAGAAAGAAGAACTTCTTCAATTTTGAAGGTCACTCCAGTAAAGCTCAGCTGTCGAGCAATGTACATTCCTCTAAGCTTCATATCCATAGCAACTATTTCCATGGCACCAACTCCTCTGAATAAAATTAAAACATACAGTAACTACCAATAAAGTAGAACTTTAACATACAGAGAACGAGCTATAGGAATAAGACATTTCTGGCCGGGCGCGGTGGCTCAAGCCTGTAATCCCAGCACTTTGGGAGGCCGAGGCGGGTGGATCACGAGGTCGAGAGATCGAGACCATCCCGGTCAACATAGTGAAACCCCGTCTCTACTAAAAATACAAAAAATTAGCTGGGCATAGTGGCACGTGCCTGTAATCCCAGCTACTCGGGAGGCTGAGGCAGGAGAATTGCCTGAACCCAGGAGGCGGAGGTTGCGGTGAGCCGAGATCGCGCCATTGCACTCCAGCCTGGGTAACAAGAGCGAAACTCTGTCTCAAAAAAAAAAAAAAAAAAAAAAAAAAAAAAAAAAAAAAAAAGACATTTCTTAGACTGCTACTGAGAACAGTATATACTATAAACTGCATTACCTCCGTTCTACTGCTTGAATAAAATCACTGAATTCTCTAAATGGAGTACCCTCACCCCATATGCCAAGGCGGTTCATATAGGCCATGTTGCGTGGTTCAGAAGCACCTGAAAAACCCACAAATGAAATAAATTATAGTTGAAAAAATAACCTACAATGTATGTTTTTAAATAAATAACTACTCACCAGTTGCACTAGCATAAACAACTCTGGCTTTTGGCAATTTGTTCTGAAGTTCTAAGACAGCTAAGCCTGTCTTGGTTGGCTTTGAAGAACCAACGGGACATAAGTTTTTTGCTTTATGACACTCATCAAACACTATCTAAAGGGAATGAATTAAGGAATGTATCACATTAGTATTAAGTGTCTCCAGTCTTTCAAGAAGAGTTAATTTTTATTCAAAGGCCTTCTGATTGCCTACTTTATGACTGCAAATATAAAAGAAGTCCTAGGTGCCTTTCCCCAGTTACATCCTCCTCCCTCTCAGGCCTCGAAGGCATTCACTGAATTTGGAATTTATCTAAACCAGATATTTGCTTTTAAAGTAAAACAGAGAAAAGAACCCACTGCAACAAGAAGTTATTATTTGGTAACCTGTGTAAGTAGAAACATGACTGGTAACCAATTTAAGCAGCATTTCAGAGAAGTGTTCCTCACGCAAGAGAGTTAAGAGATACGCTGTGAACAAGGAAGTCTGGGCCCACTAAGTTCTAACGGTGTTCTTTCCCTTAGTCTTTTCAGGTATTTTGCTATGTAAATATGCAATATTAATCCCCAAAGGGGGAATATAGTATTCAGCATTCCTCATAGATATTAACATTTTTCTAAACCAGGAGGTTAAATACTGGTCTCCTAACAGGTAAAAAAACAGAATTAACTTTCCAATCCCTTTGGATATTCTAGTTTACCATTAAAGTTTTCACTTCAGCAATTCACTTAATCTTAGGATTCCTGTTTCTCAAAGGTCTCCCCTTTTATAATTTTGCTGTCATTAAAAAATACGAAAATATTTTCTGTAAAGGATACCACTCCATCGAAGTCATCACCGCACCAATGTAGAAGTTGTTTTAACCTAGTTTTATACTTGCCGCCAGACTGGCTTTCACCAATTAGTGAAGAGTATGTAGCAAAAATAACACCTTTTTTCACACTCCCATTATGTTTGGAAGAAATTTTTCCATATTTAAACTAAAAGAAAGAAAAGAGAAGAATTTAATTAGTATACCTTTCTCTCTGAAACATTTATCCCTACCAAACATTCATAAGCAGGAACTCGTTAGGCCCGTAACAGGCCTCAGAAAACACAAAAGTACAAAAAGACAAATTTTTTGTATAGATATATACAACACAAGCACTCAACTTTATAGTACAAAAATCCAGTTTTTGGTAGGGGACAGTGGCTCAGGCCTGCAATCCCAACACTTCAGGAGGCCGAGGTAGATACATCACTTGAGCTCAGGAGTTCAAGACCAGCCTGGCCAACATAGTGAAACCCCATCTCTATAAAAAACACAAAAATTAGCCAGGCATCATGGCACATTCCTATGTTCCCAGCTACTCCAGAGGCTGAAGTTGGAGAACTGCTTGAGCCTGGAAGACGGAGGTTGCAGTTAGCTGAGATCACGTCACTGCACTCCAGCCTAGGTGAGAGTTGAGATCGTGATGAGAAAAAAAAAAAAATCCAGTTTTCAAAGTCTTAAAGACTCTATCACCAAGAAAAAATACTGAAAACCAGACAAACTCCCCGATAAGAAAAAATGTCACAATTTACAAGTATTTATTGTGCACTTACTATATGCAAAACACCATGATTAATTTCTGAGGAATATATAAGAATTGAGGAATTACTAATGTGCCTTTCTACTACTACTCTGAAATAAAAAAAAACATTTCTAGGTGCCAGTTACATGCTTTTAGTTCTGAAGTATATAAAGTCATTCAAGACACCAGTACTTCATAACTACAAATCGACACAGTAAAACCCATCCTAACAAGCCACTGATGAGCAGGGCAACACTGAATTCAACTTAGGACTCACATGGGAAGTAGATTTAGCTACCTATTTTCAAAGAATTACTAGGCGGACACTTCCAGGAACCATATCAACCTATTTTAACCTCATAACACCAACAATTGGTTCATGCATAGTAGGTCAATAAAGATTTGCTAGATGAATCTTAACATTTTTTTTTTTTTTTCCTGAAATGGAGTCTCGCTCTGTCGCCCAGGCTGGAGTGCAGTGGGACAATCTGAGCTCCCTGCAACTTCTGCCTCCCGGGTTCAAGCAATTCTCCTTATTCAGCCTCCTGAGTAGATAGGATTACAGGAGCATACCACCACGCCTAGCTCATTTTTGTATTTTTAGTAGAGACAGGGTTTCAACATCTTGGTCAGGCTGGTCTTGAACTGCTGACCTCATGATCCACCCACCTCAGCCTCTACAAAGTGCTGGGATTACAGGCGTGAGCCACCGCACTGGCCTTAATTTTTGTATTTTTAGTAGAGACAGGGTTTCGTCATGTTGGTCAGGCTGGTCTCAAACTCCTGATCTCAGGTGATCCACCTGCCTATGCCTCCCAACATGCTGGGATTACAGGCATGAGCCACCATGTCCAGCACTGAACCTTAACATTCTGAAACACACTGGGCATACATTTTCTTTTACCTTACAAAATTGTTTTCATGTGAGAAGAGCTATACAAATACAAATACCAGTCTGCCCAAGCCATAACTACCTACACCACACAGGATCTGGTGAACTATAGTGCAAGGTATGCCACCTATCTACACTGCATCCTTATGGCATGTAAACTTTCAAAAGAAAGACAAAAATAGCACTGATTATTGAGAATCAACTGGTGTGCACTGTACACCTACAGCACATCTCAATTTGGAGTGGTCATTTATACTGCTCAACAGCCACATGTGATGAATGGTTACTGCTTGTCATGATGTTTAGCACACAGGAATCCACAAACCAACAACAGTGGCTGCACTCACTATGCTTTCTGTGGAGTAACATAAAAACCGTACAAAGTTGTCCAAAGTTTTCCCTTATATAGATATCTCATAGATGAGTCAATATTTACTGAATAACCAACTGAATAAAAAACTTTCATACCTTATTTAATGAATGAACCAAAATGTTTTTTGCTCCAATATCCCTTAAATCTCTTTCAGCATCATATTTTAAGTCATTTGAAACACTAAACCTGCCAAAACAAAAAAAGCACAAATTAAATACAAATTATGTATTTACAGAATTCAGGGATAAATAAAGCCGGGTTATGACACTTAAAACAAAAAATCAAAAAAACCCTACTCGGCCAGGCGCGGTGGCTCAAGCCTGTAATCCCAGCACTTTGGGAGGCCGAGGTGGGTGGACCAAGAGGTCAGGAAATTGAGACCATCCTGGCTAACATGGTAAAACCCTGTCTCTACTAAAAATACAAAAAATTCGCTGGGCATGGTGGTGCATGCCTGTAATCCCAGCTACTCAGGAGGATGAGGCAGGAGAATCACTTGAGCTCGGGAGGCAGAGGTTGCAGTGAGCCAAGATCGAATACTACATTCCAGCCCGGGCAACAGAGCAAGATTCTGTCACACTCACACACACACACACAAACACACACACACACACACACACAAACAAAAAAAATCCCAAACAACCCACCCTATTGAGTGCAGTGGCTCACACCTGTAATTCCAACACTTTGAGAGGATGGGTCAGGAGATTTGCTTGAGCCCAGAAGTTCGAGACCAGCCTGAGCAACACAACAAAACCCATTTCTACAAACAACTAAAAAATTAGCCAAGCATGGTGGCGCACACCTGTAGTCCCAGCTACTCAGGAGGCTGAGGCAGGAGAATCACTTGAGCCCCAGAGGTAGAGGCTGCAGTGAGCCGTGAATGTGCCATTGCACTGTAGCCTGGGTAACAGAGACCCTGTCTTGATCAGGAGGGGGAATCTCATCCCCACATGCTAAAGTAATTATTCACTAATAAAAGCTTCTGAGGCCAATTTTTAAACACTTACCACAATGCTCGTTTTCTACTCAACAAATAATTTTCATAGATGATTCCTGCTATGGTTCTACCTTTTCCTACACCAGCACCATCACCTATTAAGAAGCCAGCACGATCTCCATTAGGTAGAAAAGTTTCATGTTGCTGAAAAACAAAAGGCTGGTAATTAATATAGTCCTTTAGGTATTTTAGTGATCAATGTTTCATACACTATTTTACAAATATATTGATGTTATCTGTTTTTTGTTTTGTATACGTATTTTGTAACACTATTTATTTTTACTTAAAGTTCATACAGTTTGGCTTTTAATGTGGATACTTTCTACATATTTACTATATATTATCTCCTGCTACTCTCCCATGTACCAAGTAACTAAAGTTAACAAATTGGTGAGGAGCCCACCATACCCTTATCAACGCTTGCAGAATCAAATAGGAAGTTTTTGTGTTTTCTTTTTGACAGAGTCTAACTCTGTCGTCAAGGCTGGAGTGCAGTAGCACAATCTCCATTCACTGCAACCTCCACCTCCTGGGTTCAAGTGATTCCCCTGCCTCAGCTTCCTGAGTACCTGGGACTACAGGCGTGCACCACCATGCCCAGCTAATTATTGTATTTTTAGTAGAGACAGTTTCACCATGTTGGCCAGGCTGATCTCAAACTCCTGACCTCAGGGTGATCCATCTGCCTCGGCCTCCCAAAGTGCAGGGATTACAGGCACGAGTCACCATGCCCAGCCAAATTAAAAGTTTTACATCCCACAAAATATAGAGGATAAATGCCTATTTTGGTTATTACTTATTTTACAGATACGAAGTATGACTGAAATCACTTTAAGAACACAGTTTAACTCTATCTCACATCATTTTAAAAGCCCACACAACACCTCACAGTCCAATAATATGACAGTTTATACAATCATCCCCCACAAATGTGGATGCTCAAATCTTTTCCAGCTGGGGGGAACAAAAGGTATAACAAATATCCTTCTGCATATATTCCAACAGTTCTAGGGAGCACAATCCTAGGAATGGACATATACACACACATATATACATATATCTTTTTTTTTTTTTTTTTAATTGAGAAAGGGTCTCATTCCTATTACCCAGGCTGGAATGATAAGATCATGTCATATTACAGCCTCAACTTCCCAAGCTGAAGTGATTCTCCTGCCTCAGCCTCTCAAGAAACTGGGACAATAGGCCCACGTCACTACACCCAGCTAATTTTTTGTATTTTTAGTAGAGATGGTGTTTCACCATGTTACCATACTGGTCTTGAACTCCTGGGCTCAAGCAATCTGCCCATCTCAGCTTCCCCAAGTGCTGGGATTGCAGACATGAGCCACCGTGCCCAGACAATATACACATTTTTAATTTTAATAGATATTCCCAGTAAATTCCAAGAAAGTTATGACATTTGTCATTTCCACTGGAAATACACTATCTGTATCTCTGCTACACTTCTAAATTTAGTTTTCCAACACATAAAATGTTCATAAAAATCACATTTATAAGCTTTTCATGCAAGGAAAAATTACCTTTAGATTAAAACAACTGTTATCTAGTATAGGATAAAATAATTACATTAATTATGAAATACTGTTGCTTACCTGGGCTGCATATGTAATTGCCTCAAGCTGTAATGCTGATAACCAGCCATTATCAATGGTTTCCTCAGAAATCGATGTTTTGTACCAAACATCAGGAGGAGTAACACTGGATAAAGAACTAGTTTCCACTACAGCATCTGGGTGACGTAGGCCAATTTTTACTAAATAAAAATTTAAAAATAATTATTCCAAGTAGTAACATTGCTAGTTTCATTACAGGCTATTGCAATATTTTTCCTATGACAAAGAATAATAATTAGAAAGTATTCGCTCTAGGCTTCTATAAAAAGTCACTGATGATAAAGTACTATCCATATTTGACTAAAATGATTTATAAACTACATATGGCCGGGTGCGGTGGCTCAAGCCTGTAATCCCAGCACTTTGGGAGGCCGAGGTGGGTGGATCACGAGGTCAAGAGATGGAGACCATCCCGGTCAACATGGTGAAACCCCGTCTCTACTAAAAATACAAAAAGTTAGCTGGGCATGGTGGTGCGTGCCTGTAATCCCAGCTACTCAGGAGGCTGAGACAGGAGAATTACCTGAACCCAGGAGGCGGAGGTTGCGGTGAGCCGAGATGGCGCCATTGCACTCCAGCCTGGGTAACAAGCGAAACTCCGTCTCAAAAAAAAAAAATTAAAAAATTAAAAATAAATAAATAAATAAATAAACTACATATGGTTAAAAGAGACTTGGGCCAGACAGGTGGCTCATGCCGGTAATCCCAGCACTGTGGGAGGCTGAGGTGGAGGGATCACTTGAGGTCAGGCATTCGAGATCAGCCTGGCCAACATAGCAAAACCCTGTCTCTACTAAAAATATAAAAATTAGTTGGGCATGTTGATACATGCCTACAATTCCAGCTTACTCAGGAGGCTGAGGCACAAGAATCGCTTGAACCCAGGAGACAAGAGATTGCTGTGAGCCGAGATCGCGCCACTGCACTCCAGCCTGGGAGACAGAGCAAGACTCCACCTCAAGAAAAAAATAAAAATAAAACAACCAAGTCCCCCAAATATACAACATGAATATATTATAATAATGATCTGGAAGCCTTTTCTGTAAAGGATCAGAGAATGATTTCGCCTTTTTTAGGCCATCCTGTCTCATATAACTACTTAACATTGCTGTTATAGTGTCAATGCAGCCATAGAATAAGTAAATCAATTAATACGTTTACTTTCCAGTAAAACTATTTACTATTGGCCAGGCGCGGTGGCTGATGTCTGTAATCCCAGCACTTTGGGAGGCCGAGGCAGGTGGATCACGAGGTCGAGAGATCGAGACAATCCTGGTCAACATGGTGAAACCCCGTCTCTACTAAAAACACAAAAAATTAGCTGGGCATGGTGGCACGTGCCTGTAATCCCAGCTACTCAGGAGGCTGAGGCAGGAAAATTGCCTGAACCCAGGAGGTGGAGGTTGCGGTGAGCCGAGATCGCGCCATTGCACTCCAGCCTGGTTAACAAGAGCAAGACTCCGTCTCAAAAAAAAAAAACAAAAAACAAAAAACAAAAAACACTATTTACTATAAAGGAGGGTGTGGTCCAGATTCAGTTTGCTGTCCTCTGGCTTAAGGGGCCATAAACTCTCTTTTTTTTTTTTTGAGAGGGAATCTTGCTCTGTCGCCAGGCAGGAATGCAGTTGCGCCATCTCAGCTCACTGCAACCTCTGCCTCCCAGGTTCAAGCAATTCTCCTGCCGCAGCCTCCCTGGTAGCTGGGACTACAGGCATGACCCACCACGCCCAGCTAGTTTTTGTACTTTTAGTAGATATGGGGTTTCACCATGTTAGCCAGGATGGTCTTGATCTCTTTACCTTGTGATCCACCCACCTCAGCCTCCCAAAGTGCTGGGATTACAGGCATGAGCAACTGCGCCCAGCCCCAACTCTTTTAATCTGTTTGCAAATGACTATTAGTTATGGGAGAAAGAAAACAGAAGTTCAACTAGGCCCCCTAAAACTCATTATGCATGACCAGAAAAGGATGATGGAATCTTGGAGTCTATCAGTAGTAGATAAAAAGAGAATTACAGTTCAAGTCAAATAGTATTATTAGTGGGTTTTTTTTTTTTTTTTAAGATGGAGTCTCAATCTGCTGCCCAGGCTAGCATGCAGTGGCATGATCTCAGCTCACTGCAACCTCTGCCTCCTGGATTCAAGGGATTCTCCTGCCTCAGCATCCTGAGTAGCTGGGATTACAGGCATGTGCGACCAAGCCCGGGTAATTTTTTTTGTATTTTTAGTAAAGACATGGTTTCACATGTTGCCAGGTTGGTCTCGAACTCCCGACCTTGTGATCCGCCTGCCTTGGCCTCCCAAAGTGCTGGGATTACAGGTGTGGGCCACCACACCTGGCCTATTACTGGCTTTTTACAAAAACCAATACTACATGAAAGACAAATTCTAGACATAGATTTGTTTCCTATAATAAAAAGTGAAAATATTATGCAAATACTAAAAACCTAATTTTCGACTTCATATAGTGGCTGCAAAAAACAAAAATCATGGTTATACAAAAGGGAGAAACAAAAGTTAATTAAAAACGATGGAATTGAAATAGCACAAATCATTTTTATAATTTCAATGTTTTTACAATTTTAGACAAGCTGTATATAATATAAATATGTATCTTAGCTTTATACATCTCTATAATTAGCTTTGATATTTATAATTACTACTCCTACGAACAAAATTAACTTAAAATCCAAGGTTCTTTAGTTTGAATTTTGAAAGACTTTGACCAAAAACAAGGTTCTAATTTATATGGAAGCAAAACAAAACAAAACAAAAAGAACCAAAAAAATAAAAAATAAAACACACAAAAAAATAAAAAAAAAAAAACTTTGATGTAAATATTTGACAAATCCTAAAGACTTACATTTTATTGGCATGTACTCTGCATAGGTTTCTGCATGACCCATTTCTTCTTCGTCTTCTTCCTCTGGTTCATCATCTTCTTTTAGAACAGGGATCTTCTGCAACATAGAAAGACCACAAGAGCACAATCAATCCCAAATCCAGGGACCAAACACCCAGCCAACACATAGAAAAACTCTCCTGTAGAACGCCTACCATCTTCCATCATGAAAACACAATGTGCCACCTCAATAATCCCTAAAATCTGGGCCATGCTTCATGGCTTTCCTGCTTCTCTGATAATGAGCACAGACAAGGATCTACACTGTCCCTTACCCACAAATGGGTCACCACAGGGCTCCACGTCCTTCTAGCCGCCATCATCTTAAGCTACTTTCTCCTTCAATGCTGCCTACCACCCCTCCTTGATGCCCAGAACCCTCTCTGCACTCAGACTGTGCCTTCATTCTAGTTTCAGGCTAAAGAGGAAGCACTGTGGCTAGCTCTTTATAGTGCTAGAACTGGAGTGAAACCCAGCAAAGGTGCCTCTCAGCACCACATCCCACCTTTTTCTCAGTTCACTTCCATTTGTCTACTTTTCTACATATTCTAATACCAAAACCCCAGAAGACTGGAGTTTAAAGGCTCTTATGAAGAACAGAAAATTTACTTCAGACTTCTGTGTCTCCACAGGTGCAATCGTGATCATATGTAAGACGGCATATAACTTATTCTCCAAACCTTGGCATATCTGAGTTGGGGCACTATTAGAAATCACACTGAGAAAACAGGAGTAAACCCAGGCTGCCCTCGACAAACCAAGTATGGTCACCATAGTTATACTTTCCTTTTCTTCCTCTACAGGATCTTAAAGGAATTTTTATTAGGAGTTTAATCATTAGGAAACGATTTATTAAAGTGTACTTGTTAAGGGAAGAATATATTGAAAAAAAAAAAAAAAAGAAAAAAAAAAACCTATTGTGAAACTCAGTATACCAAGGGAAGAGGACAACAAAAACTTACAGGTTAAGGCAAATTAAGGCAAGGTCAAGACAGAATTGAAAGACTCTTTTTTCATTTACCTCAGAATCTAGAGCAGAATATGGCTGCAAATAAATAATCAATGTGAAACAGAAAAGAGGTGGGACACAACCATCCTATCAACATTAATTAACCCATGGAGTCTTTAGACAGATTTAATCTAACAACTTCAAATGTTCTCAGAAATTTTGCTAAAATAAAACCCAATTTCAGAACTTCGAGGCAAAATTGGTCTGGTCAAAGGAAGAGAACTGAATCCCAATTACGCTGCTATTTAATTGTGTCATCTATTATTTAATTTAGGCAAATTACATAAATTCTGGGTCCTCTTCCACCTCCACCTTCTCACCCTGGCCCCTCTTATAAAATAGGAATGAATTATATGCTAAGATAACCAATCTCCTTTCTCCCTCCATCTTTTATTCCCCTACCTAGAGTTTTTAAAAATCACCAGGGGTGGCCGGGCACAGTGGCTCATGCCTGTAATCCCAGCACTTTTGGAGGCCAAGGCAGGTGGATCACTTGAGGTCAGGAGTTCGAGACCAGCCTGACCAACATGGCAAAACCCTCTCTACTAAAAATAGAAAAATTAGCTGGGCATGGTGGCAGGCACCTGTAATACCAGCTACTCAGGAGGCTGAGGCAGAATTGCTTGAACCTGGGAAGCGGAGGATGCAGTGAGCCAAGATCGCACCATTGCACTCCAGGCTGGGCAACAAGAGCAAAACTCCTTCTCAAAATAATAATAATAATAATAATAATAATAATAATAATAATAATAATGATGAGGCAGGAGAATCACTTGAACCTAGGAGGCAGAAGTTGCAGTGAGCTAAGATGGCGCCACTGCCCTCCAGCCTGGGCTATACAGCAAAACTCTGTCTCAACACACACACACACACAATTTGTCAACTAGTTTGGTTCACGGGCTACCAGCGTGCAGTCTCTCTGAGGTGTTACTTAACTGCTAGGCCAATAAAATACTTTTGGTATATAATAGGCTGAAACAGAAACATGAGAACCACCTAAAACATTTCTTCAAGAAATATGCATTCTTAGTTTCCAAAAAAACACCTTCCAAGTGCTATTGGTAGACAATCATTAAATAAACTGGGTACTGACAGTAGCACTTGTTCTCCTAGTCCCCGTTAAAAACCTCAGCTACAGTTTGCTGCACTGTCTCCAATTCCATATTCCAGAACCAAGTCTCAAAAGTTTTTTGGTGCCAGACGCAGTGGCTCTCGCCCATAATCCCAGCATTTTGGGATGCTGAGGCAGACGGATCACAAGGTCAAGAAATTGAGACCCTCTTGACCAACATGGTGAAACCCCCCTCTACTAAAAAATACAAAAATTAGCTGGGTGTAGTGGCGTGCGCCTGTAGTCCCAGCTACCTGGGAGGCTGAGACAGGAGCATTGCTTGAACCGGGAGGTGGAGGTTGCAGTGAGCTGAGATCGTGCCACTGCACTCCAGCCTGGCGCCTGGCAAGAGAGAGACTCTGTCTCCCCCCCCCAAAAAAAAAAGGTGTTTTTTGGTATCATTATGTATAGTCATCTCTTATTTTCCTCCTTTTTTCCTTTCCCCTCTCTCTTTTCCAATCCCCTCTGCAAGGCCTCTAGTATACTTGTTCTTACTTCCCCTTTAAGTTAACCAACTTTCCAACCTGTCTCTCTTCCCTAACCCTACTCATCCCGAATCTCTGTCGGCCCTACCCCAACCTATCTGAAGCACTAACAGGACCCTCCATGTCTACTGGCTCATTGGTGCTGGACTAAGTCCAAAGGCCTTCAAACTCAATTCAGGGCAAGGTGCTTTGGCTTCCAGGATCACCTGAGGTCAGGAGTTTGAGACCAGACTGGCCAACGTGGTAAAACCCCATGTCTACTAAAAATACAAAAATTAGCCAGGTCTGGTGACATGTACCTTTAATCCCAGCTACTCAGGAGGCTGAGGCAGGAGAATCACTTGAACCTGGGAGGCAGAGGTTGCAATGAGCCAAGATCGTGCCACTGCACTCTAGCCTGGGTTCCAGAGCAAGACTCCATCAAAAAACAAAAACAGAAACAAAAAAACTCTTAATTCAGGATTCTCCATGAAGCCCACATCTACCATTCCCACTTCTTTCTGCAAGCTAAGCTTCCTGGCTTATTTTCACCTAAGCACATAGTCATTGCCTCCTGTGCCTATTGTTTAGCTCCCTTCTTAAAATCCTGTCTCAAAGTCTCGTCACACTCAAAACTCAAGCTGCATTACTCCTCCTCCATAAAGCACACCAGGCCACTTGAGTTCATGAAGGTCTCCTCTTCCTCCAAATTATTCCTTTACTGTGAGTAGCACATTACAACTTTTGATGTACTTTTCTTTCTTTTTTTTTTTTTTGAGATGGGAGTCTCGCTCTGTAGTCCAGGCTGGTGTGCAGTGGTGTGATCTCAGCTAACTGCAATCTCTGCTTCCTGGGTTCAAGCAAATTTCCTGCCTCATCCTCCCCAGTAGCTGAGATTACAGGCTCGTGCCACCATGCTCAGCTAATTTTCATATTTTCGGTAGAGACAGGGTTTCACCATTTGGTCAAGGCTGGTCTCGAACTCCTGACCTTGTTATCTCTCACCTCAGCCTCCCTAAGTGCTGGGATTACAGGCATGAGCCACTGTGTCCAGCCTGATAAATTTTTCATTATTACTCCTTAATCCAGATGGTTGTCAAATTTTGTTTACTGAAGGTGGAATCACGAAGTATACTTCTTGTAGAAACCTACCTCATATTAACAATGTTATACAGAGAGAATTTATTAAATAAATGTATGGAATCAACTGATCCAAAGCATACAGCATTTTCAAAATGTTAAGAATTATTCATAACCAGGCTGGGCGTGGTAGCTCATGCCTGTAAGTCCAGCACTTTGGGAGGCCGAGGCAGGTGGATTACCTGAGGTCAGGAGTTTGAGACCAGCCTGGCCAACATGGTGAAACCCCATCTCTACTAAAAATACAAAAATTAGCCAGACATGGTGGCACATGCCTGTAATTCCAGCTACTTGAGAGGCTGAGGTGGGAGAATCGCTTGAACCTGGGAGGTGGAGGTTGCACTGAGCCAAGATCATGCCACCACCCTCCAGCCTGGACAACGGAGAGACTCTGTCTCAAAAAAAAAAAAAAAAAAAACCAGACCATTATGTATGAGCCATGTATTCAAGATCAATCCTAAAAGAAACACAGTCATCAAACAGTTTTTGTTAACATCACATTGTCTTCTTTTCTGCTCAAATGAGAGTTTTTAACAGTAAGATATCAGTACTCCACATTCCATCAAATCTGCAAGTTTTAACCACCTGGTTAGCACCTATTAGATTATTCCACCGAGATTTAAGCTCATCCATTAGTTTAAATGCCTGTGTAGCTTCTCCTCTACCCCAAAACAGCTTTCTGAGGGCTGTTCCAGACAGAACACTTTTAGTTGAGTATACTCTCAAACTACACAAAATAAAGACAAAGCTATTTGAAACCCACCATAGTTGGGGAAAAACTCCTCATTTTCATGTCGTTTATCCACATTCTTGCTACATCTTTATTAGAAGACTCTTTCTTTACTGTACCATTGCTTACATCAGCTGAGGAGAAAAAAAGACAATTTACATTTTAGAAGAAAATTCTCAACTTATTTTCTCATTACTTAAAAATCCAGAACTTTACCCATTTCACAAACCAAAGAATGTCAATCTATTACTAATTTATTTTGTATTTATTTATTTATTTATTTATTTATTTATTTTATTTTTATTTTTTTTGAGACGGAGTTTCGCTCTTGTTACCCAGGCTGGAGTGCAATGGCGCGATCTCGGCTCACCGCAACCTCCGCCTCCTGGGTTCGGGCAATTCTCCCGCCTCAGCCTCCTGAGTATCTGGGATTACAGGCACGCGCCACCATGCCCAGCTAATTTTTTGTATTTTTAGTAGAGACGGGGTTTCACTATGTTGACCGGGATGGTCTCGATCTCTCGACCTCGTGATCCACCCGCCTCGGCCTCCCAAAGTGCTGGGATTACAGGCTTGAGCCACCGCGCCCGGCCTATTTTGTATTTATTTACTTAATTTTTTGAGACAGAGTTTTGCTCTTGTTGCCCAAGCAATTCTGCTCAGCTTCCGGAGTAGCTGGAATTACAGGCATGCACCACCATGCCTGGCTAATTTTTTTTTTTTATCTTTTTTTTTTTTTTTTTAAAGAAGAGATGGGGTTTCTCATGTTGCTCAGGTTGGCCTTGAACTCCCGACCTCAGTTGATCTGCCCACCTCGGCCTCCCAAAGTGCTGGGATTAGAGGGGTGAGCTACTGTAGCCAGACTCTTAAATTAAGCACAGGCATGAAAACATTCAAACCCTTGTGTCTTTATGGAAGTAAAGAATTAACTTGGCCAGGTGTGATGGCTCACGCCTGTAATCCCAGCACTTTGGGAGGCCGAGGCGGCGGAGCATGAGGTCAGGAGTTCAAGATCAGCCTGGCCAAAATGGTGAAACCCCGACTCTAATAAAAACACAAAAATTGGCCGGGCGCGGTGGCTCAAGCCTGTAATCCCAGCACTTTGGGAGGCCGAGGCGGGTGGATCACGAGGTCAAGAGATCGAGACCATTCTGGTCAACATAGTGAAACCCCGTCTCTACTAAAAATACAAAAATTAGCTGGGCATGGTGGCGTGTGCCTGTAATCCCAGCTACTCAGGAGGCTGAGGCAGGAGAATTGCCTGAACCCAGGAGGCGGAGGTTGCGGTGAGCCGAGATCGCGCCATTGCACTCCAGCCTGGGTAACAAGAGCGAAACTCCGTCTCAAAAAAAAAAAAAAAAAAAAAAAAACCCACAAAAAAATTAACCGGGCATGCTAGCAGATGCCTGTAATCCCAGCTACTCGGGAGGCTGAAACAGAGAATTGCTTGAACCTGGGAGGCGGAGGTTGCAGTGAACCAAGATCGTGTGACTGCACTCTAGCCTGGGCGACAGAGAGAGAGACTCTGTCTCAAAAAAGAATTAACTTCTGAAAACAAGTAACTCACAAACAATGTGTACATGGGAAACCTGAAAATTATTTATCAGAAAGATACCCTAACCACAACTATTTAATAGTTTAATGAAAACACCAAAAGCCAGTATTACTTTAAGACACTTCACTTGACTCATTAAAAACAAACAAAACTGGCGGTACGCTGGCTCACACCTGTAATCCCAGCACTTTGGGAGACTAAGGCGGGCAGATCATGAGGTCACAAGTTTGAGACTAGCCTAGCCAGCATGGTGAAATCCTGTCTTTACTAAAAACACAAAAAAATTAGCCAGGCATGGTGGCAAGCGCCTGTCATCCCAGCTACACGGGAGGCTGAGGCAGAAGAATTGATTGAACTCAGCAGGCAGAGCTTGTAGTGAGCCTAGACCACATCACTGCACTCCAGCCTGGGTAACAGAACGAGACTCTGTCTCACAAAAATAGATTAAAAAAAGGCCGGGCGCGGTGGCTCAAGCCTGCAATCACAGCACTTTGGGAGGCCAAGGCGGGTGGATCACGAGGTCAAGAGATCAAGACCATCCTGGTCAACATGGTGAAACCCCCGTCTCTACTAAAAATACAAAAAATTAGCTGGGCATGGTGGCGCGTGCCTGTAATCCCAGCTACTCAGGAGGCTGAGGCAGGAGAATTGCCTGAACCCAGGAGGCGGAGGTTGCGGTGAGCCGAGATCGCGCCATTGCACTCCAGCCTGGGTAACAAGAGCAAAACTCCGTCTCAAAAAAAAAAAAAAAAAAAAAAAAAGATTAAAAAAATAAAAATAAAGTATTAACAAAACTACAACAGAGATGATACGTAGGGATTTATTGTAACTGTGGAAGAGCCAGCAATCAGCTCATAGTTTTAAGACTAAAGTAAAACTGACAGATTAGAAACCCAAAGGGGCGGCTGGGCATGGTGGGTCATGCCTGTAATCCCAGCACTTTGAGAGGCCGAGGTGGGAGGATCAGGTCAAGAGATTGAGAGCATCCTGGTCAACATGGTGAAACCCTGTCTCTACTAAAAATACAAAAATTAGCTGGACATGGTGGCATGCTCCTGTAGTCCCAGCTACTTGGCAGGCTGCGGCAGATACTTGAGGGGGAAAAAAAAAAAAAAAAATCCAAAGAGGCAACGACCACACAGGTAAGAGGTAGAACATGCAACACCTTGGTTTCTGCAGTTTCATATTTTCAATGTTCTTCCCCATCAGTAAAGAGGACCATCTCCAACACAAATCTTTGCTTATCCTCCGCATTCATGTACCATCTTTCTCAGTCCTGATCTAGTCTGACAGTTTCTCAGGCTTCCATACAAGGATAGTCTTGATTTGCAGCCTTAAACATCTACATTTGTCTTTTAAAAATTACTAGTTTAAGTGTGGGAGAATTTACTGTCCTAGATATTGTCTTCAGCTCCAAATCTATCCTGTTTTGTTTTGTTCTCTAAACTCTTTCCTCACAATGGCATACATGCACTCCTTTAATTTATGATGGCATATGCTGATGTGAGGAGTACAATGCTCAGGAAGCCACTCATATATAAGCAACAGGCTTCCTCATTAAATCCAAAGACCCTAACCAGAACCATCTTCCACAAACTGTCAACCATCCCTAAGTCCCCTGTGAGTGATTCCAGAAGCTGCCCTGCACCTCAGCTAGGTCAAGGTCACAGTCCTGCACTCCACAGCCGAAAAAGGAATCAGTCCTAAGACAGCTAAAATGATTTCCCAACTGGTGTCTCACTGCCAGGTTGCAGTCAGTTCAGGACAATGATCTTGAGAGGAAAAAAAACACAAAAAAATTAAAAAACTACAGCCACAAAGACACAATGGTATGAACCGAAACATAAAAATTACATGAAAATTTTAATCACAACCGTCACTTGAGATAGGTCCTACATCTTCCTACAAACACATTGCCCATTCTTTTAGAATGCTCCTATCCCTCTATTTCATAAAAACTCAAGCAGCCTGGGCGTGGTGGCTCACGCCTGGAATCCCAACCCTTTGGGAGGCCTAGATGGGCAGACTGTCTAAGCTCAGGACCAGCCTAGCCAATATGGTGAAACCCTGTCTCTACTAAAAATACAAAAATTTGCTGGGCATGATGGAGGGTGCCTGTAATCCCAGCTACTTGGGAGACTGAGGCAGAACTGCTTGAACCTGAGAGACAGAGGCGGCAGTAAGCAAAGATAATACCATTGCACTCCAGTCTGACAGAGTGAAACTCCCATCTCAAAAAAAGGAAAAAAAATACAACATATTCGGCTCTACTGTGAATTAGATTCTGCTTTCAAACAAGATCCATAGATAATTCATAGGTAAATGAAGTATAAGATGCACTGATTTGTAAAGGATTAAGAAAAATGTTAACTGGGCTAGCCACAATATATAAAACTGGTAAGATCTCATGTTGTTAATGTAGCTACCTGATAATCCCACAAATTTCATTTCAAAGCTACACAATCTACCCAAGGCAGCTAAACTTTTGCTTCCCTTGAATTATGTTAAAGAGCATAACTATATAAAATAATGCACATAACACTCACCCACCCCACCTTCTTTTTTAAACAGAGTTTCACTCTGTCGTCTAGGCTGGAGTGCAGTGGCTAGATCTTGGCTCACTGCAACCTCCGCCTCCTAGGTTCAAGCACAGATAACACCCTTTTATGCCCAGTTCTTTAAAAATCCAAGCAAATCACTTAAAAAACAGGCTGACATAGCTTACCAAAGGCAGAAAGTTGAGACTACTGAAAACAGACTTACTAGCTGCTGTTGCTACTGGCTGAGCAATATTAGCAGGTGGCTTTAGTTTCATGAGTTCATTAAGACTATTATGTTTTAGTAGATCCTTCAGTTGAACCTGGTCTTTTGAAGGTGCAGAGGTCATGGCATTTCGTACTGCTGGTGCTGAGACTGAAGGGCGTGTGCTTGCAGTAGTCTGGATAAACTTAGTTAAAGTGATGGTTTGCCTGTTGGTTGTTACAGGTGGTGTTTTAGTCATTACAATTGTAGATGCCAAGGGTGGAAGCTGATTTATTTGATTCAGCACAAATGTTGTAGTAGATGGAGGCTGCTGCTAGAAAACAAAAAACAATATGCCACTGAAAAGTGCTTTACTCTCTAATGAAGCTATATTCATAAACCTGGAAGGGCAACTAAAAATCTAAAATGGACTTATTATTGCTTTTTTTTTTTTTTTCTCCCTTGAGACATAGTCTTATTCTGTCACCCAGGCTGAAGTGCAGTAGTGTGATCATAGCTCACTGCAGCCTTGCCCAAATGGGCTCAAGTGATTCTTGCATCTCAGTCTCCCAAGTAGCTGGGACTACAGGTGCACACCACCATGCCTAGTAAATCTTTTAAGAGATAGGGTCTCGCTATGTTGCTCAGGTTGGTCTCAAACTCCTGGGCTCAAGCCATTCTTCCACCTCAAACCTCCCAAAGTGTTGCGATTACAGGCAAGAGACACTGTGCTTAGCTTTGCGTAAATATTGTTACATCATTTCTGATTTGATTAGCAGCAAACTACCACGTTAAAACACACAACTTTGTTAAAACCATGTTAGTCAGGCTGGTCTCCAACTCCTGACCTCAGATGATCCAGCCGCTCTGGCCTCCCAAAGTGCTGGGACTACAGGCGTGAGCCACCATGTCAGGCCACAAATGTGTTTTTAAAAATACCTTTGTGGCCGGGCGTGGTGGTTCATGCCTGTAATCCCAGCACTTTGGGAGGCCGAGGCGGGTGGATCACAAGGTCGAGAGATCGAGACCATCCTAGACAACATGGTGAAACCCCGTTTCTACTAAAAATACAAAAAAATTAGCTGGGCATGGTGGCGCGTGCCTGTAATCCCAGCTACTCAGGACACTGAGGGAGGAGAATTGCTTGAACCAGGAGGCGGAGGTTGCGGTGAGCCGAGATCGCGCCATTGCACTCCAGCCTGGGTAACAAGAGTGAAACTCCATCTAAAAAAAAAAAAATCTTTGTGGGGCTGGGAGCGGTGCTCACGTCTATAATCCCAGCACTTTGGGAGACTGAGGCAGGCAGATCACCTGAGGTCAGGAGTTTAGGACCAGCCTGGCTAACATGGTAAAATCCCGTCTCTACTAAAGACACAAAAATAAGTCAGGCATGGTGGTGGGCACCTGTAGTCCCAGCTACTCAGGAGGCAGAGGCAAGAGCATCACCTGAACCCAGGAGGCAGAGGTTGCAGTGAGCTGAGATGGTGTCACTATATTCCAGCCTGGCAACAGAGTGAGACACTGTCTCAAAAAAAATATTGTGGTGGTACACATTTGTAGTCCCAGCTACTGGGGAGGCTGAGGTGGGAGGGTTGTTTGAGCCTGTAAGGTGGAAGTTGCAGTGAGCTGAGAACACACCACTGCACTCCACTTGGGTGACAGAGTGAGACCCTGTCTCAAAAAAATAAAGAATTGTTACGTATAAGGTTAGACCAAAGGAACTCTCTTTAAAGCACAATTACAATCACAGAAAAATTATATACGCCGCTGGGCAGGGTGGCTCACACCTGTAATCCTAGCACTTTGGGAGGCTGAGGCAGGCAGATCACCTGAGGTCGGGAGTCTAAGATCAGCTTGACTAACATAAAGAAACCCCATCTCTCCTAAAAATACAAAATTGGCTAGGCATGGTGGCACATGCCTGTATCCCCAGCTACTTGGCAGGCTGAAGCAAGAGAATTTCTTGAACCTGGGAGGCAGAGGTGGCGGTAAGCCGAGATCCCGCCATTGCACTCCAGTCTGAGCAACAAGAGCAAAACTCTACCTCAAAAAGAAAATTACATGTCAATGGACAAAAGCTGAAATAGGTAAGCAAAATAAAAAATAGTAGGATAGGCCAGGCACGGTGGCTCATGCCTATAATTCCAGCACTTTGGGAGGCCAAGGCGGGCAGATCACAAGGTCAGGAGTTCAAGACCAGACTGTCCAACATGGTGAAACCCCCTCTCTGCTAAAAAATACAAAAATTAGCCAGGCATGGTGGCAGGTGCCTGTAATCGCAGCTACTTGGGAGACTGAGGTAGGAGAATTGCTTGAACAGGGACCCAGGAGGTAGAGGTTGCAGTGAGCCGAGATCGCACCACTGCACTCCAGCCTGGGCTACAGAGTGAGACTCCTTCTCAAAAATAAATAAATAAATAAATAAAATTCTAAAAAATGAAAAGAGGAATGTGCATTTCATCTTTATTTCATGAATTTTATATCATTTGCAATAAACAAAATAGGTTCTGCTTTGTTTGTGTTATCTTTTGGTCAGCACAAGTACCAAAAGAATGAAACAAACGTGTTACAAAGTAGGAGGAGGTAAGGGTAGAATACTGGGAAAGTGGCAAAAAGCAGAACTAGAGAAAACTATTTCACACTAAACGGTTCTTTTTTGAAATTTTTCATTATTGTTTAATTATCCATTTCTTCTTTTTTTTTAAATTTTTTGAGACAGTGTCTCACCCTGTCGCCCAGGCTGGAGTGCAGTGGCATGATCTCGGCTCACTGCGACCTCCACTTCCTGAGTTAAAGAGATTCTCCTGCTTCAGCCTCCCAAGTAGCTGGGACTATAAGGCATGCACCTATATGTATTTTTAGGAGCGACAGATGGGGTTTCATCATGTTGGCCAGGATGGTCTTGAACTCCTGACCTCAAGTGATTCACCCACCTTGGCCTCCCAAAGTGGCGGGATTATAGGCATGAGCCACGGTGCCCAGCCTATTTCCTCTTTTTTTGTAGAGATGGGGTCTTGCCATTTTGCTCAAGCTGGTCTTGAATTCCTTGGCTCAAGCAGTCCTCCAGCTCCAGCCTCTCAAAGTGCAGAGATTACAGGTGTGAACCACCACAACCTGCCAGGTTATTTTCTTACTACAGCTCTAAACTATTTTAGAAGACCAAATCTAAATAATTCTTACCCTCACATTTAACAGTGCTGGAGTAGGTACAGTCTCTGGTTCTTGTTTTACAGGAACTGCTGCTTCGGTTTCCAAACCTAGTTCTAATGCACTAAGTGGCACTGACTGGAGAGAAAACAACATCAGAGAAAGAAACAAAGGACAGCAGTAAAGTCTGTTTCAAGAACAAGAGTTGGATTTATTAAAAAATAACAAGCTTAACATTTAAAGTGATGTGAAATCACTAACAGCAGATATAATGTAACAGTCTTTGCAAGCACAAGAATTCGACAAAACTATACAAACAATTTTTTTTTTTTTTAATTTTTTGGCCGGGTGCAGTGGCTCACGCCTGCAAATCTCAGCACTTTGGGAGGCTGAGGCAGGCAGATCACGAGGTCAGGAGATCGAGAGATTGAGACCATCCTGGAGAACATGGTGAAACCCCGTCTCAACTAAAAATACAAAAAATTAGCAGGGCGTGGTGGCACGAGCCTATAGTCCCAGCTACTAAGGAGGCTGAGGCAGGAGAATCACTTAAAGCTGGCAAGTGGAGGTTACAGTGAGCCAAAATTGAGCCACAGCCCTCCAGCCTGGGAGACAGAGGGAAACTCCATCTTAAAAAAAAAAAAAAAACCACACAAATTTTTTAGGCCAGGCACGGTGGCTCACACCTGTAATCCCAGCACTTTGGGAGACAAGGCGGGAAGATCACGAGGTCAAAGGTTCAAGACCAGCTTGGACAACATGATGAAACCCCATCTTTACTAATAAATAATAATTAGCCTGGCATGGTGGCAGGCGCCTATAATCCAAGCTACTCGGGAGGCTGAAACAGAATTGCTTGAACCTGAAAAATGGAGGTTGCAGTAAGCCAAGATAATGTCACTGCACTCCAGCCTGGGTGAAAGAGTGAGACTCTGTCTCTAAATTAATTAATTAATTAAAAAAATTTTTTAAAGCTAGTCAGGTGAAGCAGTGGGAGTAGAAGAGAAACAAAGAAATCTGTAACTGGCTGTGATCAATTAATTGTAAACAATACTGCACTCAGACCAGTCTATTATTTTTCAGAAACAAGGTCTTGCTCTGTCACCCAGGCTGGAGTGCAGTGGCACAATAACTCACAACAGCCTCCAACTCCTGGGCTCAAACAATACTCCCACCTCGGCCTCCGGGTAGCTGGGACATCAGGTGCACACAACCACGGCCAGCTAATTTAACTTTGTGTAGAGACAAGGGCTCGCTACGTTGCCCAGGCTGGTCTCTAACTCCTGGGCTCAAGTAATCCTTCAGCCTCAGCCTCCCTACATGCTGGGATTACGGGCATGAGACACTGTGCCCAGCTAGAATCTTACATTTTTGCTTTCAGAGAATGTAGACAGCAAAATCACAGAATACCCCTAAATAATGAGACAACTATTAAGGAAATTAAAGATACTCCCACAAGAACACTAAACATCTCTTACACTGTCTGTACATATATAGTAACAACAAAGCAGAAAATAATGTTTTGGTTTTATTATTTTCTGCCCTATAAGTCAAAACGAATACTCAACATAAAAATAACATTGACATGACGGGCGCGGTGGCTCAAGCCTGTAATCCCAGCACTTTGGGAGGCCGAGGCGGGTGGATCACGAGGTCGAGAGATCGAGACCATCCTGGTCAACATGGTGAAACCCCGTCTCTACTAAAAATACAAAAAATTAGCTGGGCATGGTGGCACGTGCCTGTAATCCCAGCTACTCAGGAGGCTGAGGCTGGAGAATTGCCTGAACCCAGGAGGCAGAGGTTGCGGTGAGCCGAGATCGCGCCATTGCACTCCAGCCTGGGTAACAAGAGTGAAACTCCGTCTCAAAAAAAAAAAAAAAATAACAACATTGACATAACAAGAAAAAATAAAAATAAAAAAATAACATTCACACGTATGTTTAAAATTAAGGCTTCACATGTGTATTTAAAATTGTGCCAAGTTAGGCTCACACCTATAATCCCAACACTTTGGGAGGCTGAGGCAAGCAATCGCTTGAGCTCAAGAGTTCAAGACCAGCCTGGGCAACATGACAAAACCCCATCCCTACAAAAACTACAAAGCTGAGCTGGCTGCAGTGGTGCGTGCCTTTAGTCTCAGTTACTTGGGCAGCTGGGGCAGGAAGACTGCTTGATCCTCAGCAGTCAAGGCTTCAGGGAGCCATGACTGTGCCACTGCACTCCAGCTTGGGCAACGGAGTGAGGCCCTCTATCTTAAAAAATACTGTCAGTGGAAATCAGAAATTAACAAAGAGAGGCTTTGGAAAACTTACCTGCTGAACTGAAGGGGTTGGCGTTGGAGTTGCGAGCCCTGCATCTCCACCATCAATATCAAAGAGGTCATTCGGACTAATTCCACTCTCACTCAAAGCAGCAAGCAGTAAATCTTGCCCTGGTTCCACCATCTTTAGAATGAAACATTAAATATTAACATAAAAAGTGAAAAGTAACAAATATTAACTCCCCCGTAAACAATCCAACAATCTCTACCAGACCTATTCATTCAGTATTTATGAAGAACCTGCCATGTGTCAGGCAAAGAGGACAAAAGTCTTGAATCCCAAGCTCACTCTAAAATAGAAAGGATAGAGAAGTACATATATCACAGGACAAGCATATGTCTACAAAAGGCTATGTGAAGAGAAGGAAATACTGAACTTTGTGGAAGCAGAGATGTTATGAAGATTACAAAGCAGCAGAGCCTCAGGGATGTAATCATCAGGTGGACAAGGATCCTCTGGACTACACATTCAAAACATGAAGACGTGGCCGGGCGCGGTGGCTCAAGCCTGTAATCCCAGCACTTTGGGAGGCCGAGGCGGGTGGATCACGAGGTCGAGAGATCGAGACCATCCCGGTCAACATGGTGAAACCCCGTCTCTACTAAAAATACTAAAAATTAGCTGGGCATGGTGGTGCGTGCCTGTAATCCCAGCTACTCAGGAGGCTGAGGCAGGAGAATTGCTTGAACCCAGGAGGCGGAGGTTGCGGTGAGCCGAGATCGCGCCATTGCACTCCAGCCTGGGTAACAAGAGTGAAACTCCGTCTCAAAAAAAAAAAAAAAAAAAAAAAAAAAACATGAAGACGTGAAAGAATTTGACACACTTTAAGAACTATGGCTGGGCCGGGCGCAGTGGCTCAAGCCTGTAATCCCAGCACTTTGGGAGGCCGAGGCGGGTGGATCACGAGGTCGAGAGATCAAGACCATCCTGGTCAACATGGTGAAACCCCGTCTCTACTAAAAATACAACAAACTAGCTGGGCGTGGTGGTGCGTGCCTGTAATCCCAGCTACTCAGGAGGCTGAGGCAGGAGAATTGCCTGAACCCAGGAGGCGGAGGTTGCGGTGAGCCGAGATCGCGCCATTGCACTCCAGCCTGGGTAACAAGAGCGAAACTCCGTCTCAAAAAAAAAAACAAAAATAAAAAGAACTATGGCTGGAGGCCAGGTGCAGTGGTTCACATCTGTAATCCCAGCACACTGGGAGGCTGAGGCTGACCTCACCTGAGGTCACGAGTTGAAGACCAGCCTGGCGAAAATGGTTAAAACCTCGCCTCTACTAAAAATACAAAAATTAGCCACCCGTAGTGGCGGATGCCTTTAATACCAGCTTCTCTGGAGGCTGAGGCGGGAGGATCCTGGAAGGCAGAGGTTGCAGTAAGCTGAGATTGCACCACTACACTCCAGCCTGGGCAACAGAGCAAGACTTCATCTCAAAAAAAAAAAAAAAAACCTCTGGCTGGAGTTAATTCAACATGAATATGGAAGCTCAGAAGAGAAGTATGGGTCTCAGGACAAGAGATGAAGCTACCACCTGTAGCCTTGTATAACATGCTAGAAAGTTCACTTGCTCCTATGGGAAATAGGGATTACTGACAAGTTTTCCAATGGAGGACTACTTGACACAGATTTATGATTTAGAAAGATTACTTGTCCAGGCACTGTGGCTGAAGTCTGTAATCCTAGTACCAAAATGAAGGTTAGCAGGACGTTAGCTTGAGGCCAGGAGTTCAAGACCTGCCTCAGCAACATAGGGAGACCCCATATCTACAAAAATTTTTTTAAATTAGCCAAGTGTGATTAACCAGGTATGGCAGCATGCACCAGTAGTCCCAGCTACTTGGGAGGCTGAGGCAGGAGAATCACTTGAACCTGATAGGCAGAGGTTGCAGTGAGCTGAAATCGTGCCACTGCTCTCCAGCCTGGGCAACAAAGCAAGACCCTGTCTCAGAAGAAAAAAAAAAAGGAAAAAGAAAAATAAAATTAGCCAAGTATGGTGGTACATGCCTGTAGTCCCAGCTACTTGGGAGGATTGCTTGAGCCCAGGAGTTGGAGACTGCAGGGAGTTGTGATCACCCCTGCACGCCAGCCTGGGCTACAGAGTTAAGACCCCCACCTCAGTAAAGAAAGAAAAGAAGTTTATTACTCAACAGCAGTGTAAAAACAAACACTAAGAGGGGACACAGAACAAGACCAGAAGCAGAAAGACATCTTGGGAAACTGCCACAACAGACCATGAGAGAGCCGTATTATAACTGTATGGAGCAGAAAAAAGGAGAAATGTAATCCAAGACATTTAGGGAGCAGAATCCATCAGACTTAGCTTAAATAAAAACTCAGAATGGAAGCAAGAATATGAAGCACACCAGAGAAAAAGTATGAGCCGATGAATGGTTAGAGTTAAGCCAAGAGAAAATAAAAAATAAATGCTGAATCCAGACCTGAAGGATGTGTTTTATGGAGTGGGGACAGGGGTGGTCTAAAACCAATTTCAAGCAACTAGATTTTAGTTTGGGGGTTTTTCTAACTATAATCTCAAAGGTCAGACTAAAATATTCTGCTACCATGGATTTTTACCCATTTTATAGGGGAGAAAAAGCTTTCTCAATTTTAACTTTACTCATTAATTTCTCTGAAATAACCAATTTACATATACAAACATAAAAAATCTCTACTTTTCTCAGAAAACTAATTTCACGTTACATAAATATACTAATTTTCAGCTAGTCCATTTGTTCTCAGGCTGTGATAAAATTAAATGTCAGTGTTTCATGATAACCTAACAAAATGGCATTAGCCAAGAGCATAATCAGCATGACCTTTTTTTTTTTTTTTTTTTTGAGACTAAGTTTCACTCTTGTTGCCCAATGTGGAGTGCAATGGTCCGGTCTCAGCTCACTGTAACCTCTGCCTCCTGGGCTGATTCTCCTGCCTCAGCAGTCCAAGTAGCTGGGATTACAGGCACCCACCACTATGCCTGGCTAATTTTCATATTTTTTAGCCCTGGCCCAGCCAGGTCTCCAAATGCTAGCCTCAAGTGATCTGTCCACCTTGACCTCCCAAAGTGCTGGTGTTACAGGCATGAGCCACTGGGCCCTGCCTGAGCATGACTTCTAGCATGTAAGAACTAGTTCAGATGAAAAGATTTAACAAAGAAATTCTCTACTGAGTCTGTCGTCTATGTTTGTGTATCATTTGGATAGATATTCTAACGGAAAAATGCGTGAGTTTAAGGTGGAAACCAGAGATCCAGAATGAAACTTATGGAACACCACTGTGTAGAAGGGTGGGAGGAAGAACAGATACCGCAAAGATTTGTTTTGTTTTTTTCTGGAGACAGTCTCATTTTGTCACCCAGGTAGAAGTACAGTGGCACAATCTAGCTCACTGCAACCTCGCCTCCCAGGTTCAAGCAATTCTCCTGCCTCATTCTCCCGAGTAGCTGGGACTACACGTGCATGCCCCACGCCTGGCTAGTTTTTTGTATTTTAGTAGAGACAGGGTTTCACCGTGTTGCCCAGGCTGGTCTCAAACTCCCGAGCTCAAGCAACCCACCCGGCCGAGCCTCTCAAAAATTTCTCCAGAATTTTCCAGAAAGAAAGAAAAGCAAGCTAAGGAATTAAAACATTTTGGGCAGGGAGGGAGGAAGGAAGGAAACAAGCTCAACACAGAGTTAAGCTCTTCATAAACATTACCATATTTAAGCCCAAAACAACCCTAAGAGAGACAGGTAATATAATTTTGGAGCTGAAACTGAGGTTCAGAAAACTTAAATTATCTACCCAAGTTCACTCACACAGGGAGTGGTACAAGATTAGGAACTAGACAGGTGAAACTCCCAAAGTCCATGAGTTCTCTTTCCAAACAGTAATAAAGTCGATGTTGGTAAACACCGATGCTTCATTATTTTATTTCAGAATAAACGTCAGATTGAGATTAAAATTGGAGAAGGGATAAAGTATTAGCAAGATAGAAATAACATGAAGGAACTGAATGCCAGATTAAAAAAAGGAGAAAAGGCTGGGCGCGGTGGCTCAAGCCTGTAATCCCAGCACTTTGGGAGGCCAAGGCGGGTGGATCACGAGGTCGAGGGATCGAGACCATCCTGGTCGATGCGGTGAAACCCCGTCTCTACTAAAAATACAAAAAAATTAGCTGGGCATGGTGGCGTGTGCCTGTAATCCCAGCTACTCAGGAGGCTGAGGCAGGAGAATTGCTTGAACCCAGGAGGCGGAGGTTGCGGTGAGCCAAGATCGCGCCATTGCACTCCAGCCTGGGTAACAAGAGCGACACTGTCTCAAAAAAAAAAAAAAAAAAGGAGAAATGTCCCAATATAGATTTAAAATAAAGTTGTTTGCCTGATGACTTAAGCTTTTAAAAACACAAAATTAACTAATTTTTCTAATACAGACAGATTTGACCATACTTCTACAAATTATCCTAGTGCATAAAACGAATAAGTACTCAGAGCTCTAAATAAGACATTTTCAATCCATAAAATACTTCATTAAGACCAACATAGAACCAGGCCAGGCACGGTGGCTCAAGCTTGTAATCCCAGCACTTTTGGAGGCCGAGGCGGGTGGATCACGAGGTCAAGAGATTGAGACCATCCTGTTCAACATGGTGAAACCCCGTCTCTACTAAAAATACAAAAAAATTGCCGGGCGCGGTGGCTCACGCCTCTAATCCCAGCACTTTGGGAGGCCGAGGCGGGTGGATCACAAGGTCAAGAGATAGAGACCATCCTGGTCAACATGGTGAAACCCTGTCTCTCCTAAAAAAAATTACAAAAAAAAAAAAAAAATTAGCTGGGCATGGTGGCGCATGCCTGTAATCCTAGCTGCTCAGGAGGCTGAGGCAGGAGAACTGCCTGAACCCAGGAGGTGGAGGTTGTGGTGAGCCGAGATTGTGCCATTGCACTCCAGCCTGGGTAACAAGAGCGAGACTCTGTCTCAAAAAAAAAAAAAAAAAAAATTAGCTGGGCATGGTGGCACGTGCCTGTAATCCCAGCTACTCAGGAGGCTGAGGCAGGAGAATTGCCTGAACCCAGGAGGTGGAGGTTGCGGTGAGCCGAGATTGTGCCATTGCACTCCAGCCTGGGTAACAAGAGCGAAACTCCGTCT